ATTGAACAATGTGACAGCATGAGCATGTCATAGTGGTCTTTCCTCCAATCAGGTCCATTACAGAGTTATAACAAGGATTTCAACAAGTGTAAAACCAACAGGAAGTCCCTGTGCATTTGACCACTGGGTCAGACAGCAGTGTGAAGAAGGCCGTATAACTTGTAAAAAGCCACCTGGCTGAACTTGTTCAGTCAGCATAACTAGGAATATTATCTTAGTGTTGGCATCAACCACAGTCTCAAGAGAACAGCAAGTAAGCACACTAAAGTTTTAAGCAGGACTAAAGCTGGATATCGACTGTACGCGGCTGCTGCGTGCAGCAAACTCGTTCATTTGTTTACCATGTTCGTGTCCAGCATTGAACCACGGCAGCCATGTGTGGCTGTTGATTGATGCTGTTCCTCAGTTCTCGCAAGATCGCCATGAATACTGCACATGCAGCAGCTGCCTTTATGTTGATATTCAACATTATCGAAGAAAAAAAGAAACTGAAATGAAAAGTGTGTTGGTGGATGAAGGAATTAGACAAAGCACCTACAGTTTCGTTGAGAGTATTCTTTTTAGCCATAAAGATGAATTCATTGAATGTGAACCATTTGGATATGTAAACAGTACCTGCAGCTGTAAATAAACAATAAATTATTAGTGTATTGGCATAATTACAGATAATACAAGTGGTATATTAGCAATTTAATAAATATGTTCATATCAGAACCAGTTATGTGAGACTTTTCTCTTCTGTATGAAGCCAATAAAGTTGTCACCTTCTTTTTTAAATACTGAAGTGGCATTTTCATTTAGTCACCTGTCTTTCCATGGATCCTTTTGTATACTTTTATGGTAATTAGCGCTTTTTGAATTCCACAATACCTCTTTAGATTTATAAAGCTGCATGAGAGCCAGACACATTCCATTCTCTATTTTGCCGTGAAAGAAACACCGGAAGGCCACAAGACCATCTCAACTGAAAGAGCACAGCACACTGAAATCCCTTTACCGCAGGACAAAGAACCGCTCTGATTTGGCTCAGCACATGCCAAGTTTGCACACAGCAGCGTTCGTTCTGCTGCACGCAATCGATACCCAGCTTAACAGGAGTGTATGGTGCACAGTGAGCTAACTTTCATTCTTGCAATATTCAAGGAACACAACAGCTAAGTAACCATGAGAAAGAGGTGTGCTTGTAATTCTATCAGCACTGTCCTGAACAGATGGCTGGTAACCCAGCCATGCCAGACAATATTCCAGTAAGTGATCATCTACATTTGCACTTGTACATCACTGTCAATAGGTAAATCTTTCAATTCTGGGCCACTGAAGATATGAATACCTACACTCCCTGTACAAGCCAAAAGTTACTGCTTGGTGTGTGCACTCTAGACTCTATTTCTTTGAAAATTAAAACGAGAAAGCCATCAGTCATGTTGAAATGTTACGTGATTGAGCTATTTTCCATGCAGAGAGTACAGACTCTCCAATAGCATGAAAATGTATGGTTTCAGCAAGATGGTGCTACTACTTATGCAACTTCACAATTTGTTTCACTGACGTACCCTGGCCTCCTAGTTTACCAAACCTAACTGCTCATCGGGTGACATAAATGATATACTTTACAAAAAGTAAAATACTGTATAAAATGTCAAAGACTAAAGAAACATTATATAATAACATGCCTTTTGTAATACTTAATCACATTTTAAAAGCACTTCACTATTTCTGCACACCCCATATATTATATATTAAATTAGGGGACAGAATAATGAGATACCAAATCAGAGAGACAGAACACTGTTCAAATCACTAGAAATTAAGTTTTTAAAACGTTTGAAAATAGCTTCATGGATTTGAGTGAAGAATGAAATGTCCAGATAAACAAGGGACATAAATGAAACATTGTGTGAATACACTCCAATGGTGTGAATATGTAAAAAGAATGGAGACACATGGGTGACTGAAACTGCTTTTTCATTGCACATGAGGAGATATAAATGTGATATAAGGAATTTATGAAGCAATGGAGGAGAGAAATTAATATGAAAGGCAGGTGCAGATACTTATGACGTGCAAGAACAGAAATAGAAAAACCACAAGATAAAGATAAACAAAAGATTAACATAACAGAATCAGTGGCAAGGAACAACACGATTCCATCAAATGCATAAATAATTTTAACATGATAGACAGGTATACAATGTTTTGTGGCCAGAAATGGAGACATTTTTAAAACAAAATGATAAACCTATATCATTTATCTCAGATCAGCAAACAATCTATCTGCTGTAATAATTCAGCACCATATTATAAAAAGTGACTCTACTGACATGGTTCTCAGTAGCTATCCCTGCATACGAACTGTGTTAGTTGACCGTTGTCACGACGGCACACCTCGAATGCTTCACTCATTCCCAACACGCTCCCTGAATTGTGGCTAAAATACAAGAGGCGGTAAGGTCCAACTTCTCTCACAGCTGTGTCTGGGAAATCCACTTTCTTCACCCTACAGTTGCTGTTCCCACTGACAGTGCTCCTGGCAGCATATACATAGCAGAGATAGTCATCCAGACTAGTGAATCCATCCTGCAAATACAGTCATCATTCAGAAGTGGATAAAACCAACAGCTGAAGTACTGTACCATATTTTGTTGTCATCCAACTGTCTAAGTGTTGACCATACTGCAGGAATCACATTTTCAACCACAACAGTCAGTAACCCACCTGAAATTCAAATCAGGGACCTGCCAAATACATAGCTGAAGGACTATCATTATATCAAGTAGAAGTGCACCATTTAAGAATACATACATTTCCTAAGTGCATTCTTTATGATTTTGCATTCCTTATTCATCTTCAGTGTGGCTTGCTGCAGATATTACTGTATTGCAATCACAGCTAAACAACTGTGGGAACTGCAAAGTCATACACAATTCTTGCTTGAATTTTATAAAGACACAACATACCAAAACATGTTACAAATAAGAGTTCTACACTTTACTAACGCACGTCAAGTATTTCATGTCATGTAACTAAAAATATGATGATGACCCATTTCTTTAAAAATTTGATAGCTTCGTAAGCTTCATGTAAAGCCTTGCACCAATGCATATGAAAATTAAATTTCTGCTAGAGCTTTCAGTGCGAACTGTCAATATTGTTGGAGGTAAAGGGTGGCCGGTGCATAGGGCTGACAACCTTGCCGCCATCTATGAGCCTACTGTCTAGAAAATGTAGGAACCTCAACATCTCACAACGCCATGGGCCTCCACAGCCTGTTACAGGGATAGCTTCGCCTTTACTAGTCTAATTATAGTCTGAGAAAACCTAAGTGTCTAATACCTTAAAAACACCAATCCAGTCCCACAAGGTTGGCTGTACATCTCCAGAAAGTGTATATGAGGCCGAATTCTCTTCGTCTACATACCACAGCTCAAAAGGCAGGAACTCAACAACACGCTCATAGTAATCACTGAAAACCTGCAACAGCATAATTTGATACAGTAAGTCAGACAGACTCTGAAAGACAACTAAAAATTAAATTACCTACTGACTATACTTCTTAAATTCCTTCAAGTATAGTTCATACAGTAATGTTCCTGGCTTTGGGACAGATGAACAGGACTCCATTCCTGATCACCATTTCAAAATGCTTTGGGATACAGAACTTGAACACTTGGACAGCCACAAAAAGAAACTTCATTATCAGTACTTGGTATATCAAAATCTTTGTCCTCCTGACAGTCCAGAAGGTTGTTACGGCTTGAAGTTTCTCATGGTGGTAACATCTAGTCTTCCGAGAAATGATGCCACGTACTGACAGATGTTTACCAGTGTTTTGGAGGAACATGTTGCCTCCATTTTGAAGGTACTCTTACTCTTCTGTCCTGAAGATGAATAAGCATGTTCCTCTTAAAAGTTTAGTAAACATCCACCAGACTATGAGACATCAAATTCCAGAAGTTCAGAAATTTGCTTAAAATCCTCAAACTTTACTATGCGGCAATCAGGAAACTGTATATAACATTTTAATGAACATTATGTGATGCCATCAAATTCATGCACTGCAGGAGTGAAATTAGTGTTATTATTCCACTTAATCTCAGAAAGCAAGAGATTTTCTTTGGAAACCTTCTTTTGTTTAGCTGGACATTTTACAACTCAGTATCACCAATTTCATATCTGTGGACTTTGGGTTCTATATCAGGGTATGAATAAGACTCATTGTAGGAGTGCTCCATGTCACTTTGGTCCAGTACAGTTCTGGAGCATCTTGTTCACTTCCTCAACAGTCAGGTTTGAAGCACAAAATATCACCTGCCTAATGAATGAATCTGTACTTGGTTCCATGAGATAGACTATAATGGTTTCAATTCACATGTGCATAAAAAAAGACCTTATAACCAGAACAGGTTCAGTGCGATGTGCCTGTTAATCCCAAGACACTCAAGCACACAGACTTCTTACAAAGCTGTTTTGTGTGTGTACAACCAATATCCTGTTGTGATGAAACACTCAAATGCTTATCTGCAATAACAGGTTGCTACGAGGCACAGAGGCTGGTTCTCTTATGTAATGCTCAATGCAGTTAGTTACTTTGCTAGCAACTATTAATGTATGTACATCTAAACAGACATTCTGAGAAACATAACCAAAAAATATATTCCAAAGTACATTACATTAAATGAATCCAGTTTTGCACTGAAATACAGTAAAATAAAAGTGCTGATTTCTTTAAGGTGCCAAAACAAGATAAGCTAACTTCTGACTCAATATGTACCACTGTGAAGCTGTAATCCTTCTATACCGATATGTTTATGTTTGTTTGTGTACCTTGATTATGAATTCCCCAATAACAGGTTTGTGGTCACTCTGAACATATTCCTCCACACTTCTGTAAGATACTTGCTCTGCTTGTAGTGTCAAGTTCTCATATACATTAGCATTCACTTTGTACAGAATTCGATCAGTCCACGAAGGACGGCGTCTGAAATAAAGAATTTTAAAGTAGTCAGTGTTGGGTCTCAGTCTGTATTATTGACTGCTTATTGTTCCAGTCATCTGATGAGCAGACAAGCAGTATGGATAGAGAAAACATGGAATACAAAACTTTGGTTGGAAAACCTCAGGAGCAAGAGATAACTTGGAAAACCTAGGCAGTGTGAAGCTATGAACTGGGCAGAAATGGTTCACAACTGGGACCAGTGGTGAGCAGTGGTTTGACCTTCAGTGTCTGTGAAAGGAGGGGGATTTTTCTTAGTTGCATCACCTATTCACAGACATTCATAACAGCGAGAACAGAACTAACAACATGTTTCACATTTAACTGAAGTCACTATTGAAATAGTGACTGTAAGTCTCTGCTAAATCTAATGCAAGTTAAATTAAACCTACCTGCCATGTTTAACATATTATAACGTGGATGGCGCAACAGGAAGTAGGGGTCACGTGTACTCTGCGGTCTCACGAGTGACGTCATATACCCCCACTCCTTCTATCAGTATGCAATGCTTGGTAAACACCCCCTCCCCGCGGTGACATAACAGAAGAGCAACTGTGTCAGGCAACCATTGCTGCGGTGACATAACATCACTTCCCACAGTGTTGTAACAAGGGATACTGTGGTTACTACACAGCAGTAACCAACCCTCGACAGTGTTGCTAGACAATTAGTAAACACGATGTTAAGCAACACTGGTACCTATCACATAACTGTTTTCTGCGTTGTCTGTGCCGAGCCTAAATACGGAGCAGTGAACACTATTCAGTAGTGAGTACTGAGTGAGTTAATGGAGAGGGAGTAACCAGTCAGTTTCAATCTAGCAGCCGACGAGTCGAGTTGTACTGAGTGAATGGATAATTAATTGTGATACTGCAGATGGCAGTACTTGGGAAATTGTAAATTGTGTAACTGCAAGAGCGAGTGTGGAATAAATTCGTTTGATCCAATATGGCGTGAAGTTATTTGTCGCATTATATACCCAACACGTGACAAACGATAATTAAAAAGAGATCCAGTTCCCAAAACGTGTTTTCTATTATCTAGAATACCGGACGATGGAAACAGTTCAAAATCCCAGTAATTCTGAGGGATGAATCTTCGGGTTCCAACACAATAAGGAGTTTCTGTAATTGCTAAAAGTTAATTTCTTACAGAGTGACTTACTTGAGATCATATCTTGAGGAATGGAATTCAAACTTGTAGGTGGGAGGGAATGTAGGCAGTTGCTCGGACAATTCACTGAATGCTTCACCACTTGACATCACTTGCAAAAGCTGATCTTTATCCAGTAACCTCATCAATTCTCCCTTCCTAATAAGATGGTCTATTTCCTCAGCACTATAGCCATCCACAAGTCGAAAGTTCATGTCACCTATCCAGAACACATAGCTGAAACAGATGGAGCATTTCACCTTGAATTAATACTGCACTGTACTGTTCTGTTTCATATCCAGTAGGTCCTGAATTAAAATCTTTACTATGAACTCAACTGAGCAGACTGAGGTCAAGTAGCTTTCCTCATTCTCATAACGTAAGTGGTGTTATGTACTTCATAAAGGTCATAACTGCTTCCTTACCAGTTCTTTCCAATTCACAATACATTATCATCCTTTCATATTATCAATGCTACATAAATTCTGCAGATGATGTCTTGGTAAATATCCTAAGAACTTTGAATCAAGTTTTCTTTTCTTTCCTGTGAGTTATTTAATGATGCTTTCTCAGCACAAAGATTATCAAGCATCAGATGATAGGATGATAAACTGGAAAGGCTTTTTCTTTAAAAATAAACTGCACTGAAATAACAGAATTTCCAATTTATCACATCTGTCTCTGAATATATTCCCACGGGCCAAAGGAAAATTATTCATAGTTTCCATATAATGACATTCCATTATTATTATTATTGTTATTATTATGTTAATGTTGCAAATAAATTCTTGTTAACCAAAAAAATATTATGCCTCTTTACTGAGAAGCCTCAAAAACGCATTGAATAATGAACCTGCTCATTTCTTACAGCAATGTTCCGTTTTAATCAACACAAAAATCTATATTACTGAAAAGTTGACTATGCCTCCAGGACAATTGGATACTATATTAAAACATGGAACATGAAGAAATGAAGCAGCAATGAAGATAACAAGGGGAGAGAAAGCCACACAGGAATAAAGATTAAAAAAAAATTATGTACACAATGAACAAGCTTGGATGTGCTAATGATAATTAAATATTTCAACTATTATTTCTACCACAGAATATGAGAGAGAGAGGACAACAGTCTTCACAAAAATTATCTGCTGTAATATTGGTCCGAGGGTGTCACCTTGCATGTTACAATCTTTTTACAATTCATTCAAAGCTAAATAAATAACCTACAATGGAACTTTATGAAGTACAAAAAGTAAGGGATAAAAGAAGAGACTGGCATACTATGTTACTGAATGCTATGAGCCATGCCAGACTGCAGATTAACTAACTCGTGGAAAAAGATGTTGCTGGTCTCCTTGGCACGAAACAGCTGGCTCTTAATAATGTTGTTGTAATCCGCTATACGTTCCTGCAGCAGGTGATCATGTGGGGTGAGGTGGCAGTTCACGAGGCATACTGAGCAGCCATATATACTCAGTCGAATGGTCACTGCTCCCTTGTTTCCCTGAGGATATAAACAGTGCATATAATATAAATTCCTTCACATCAACAAAGTACATTCCTTACATGAAACTTTGTAATTTATACAGTTCAAAGAATGTGAAGTACAGTAATCAGTGAGCCAAACATACAGCTGAAATGAGAAATCAATGAATATTTAGATAATTCTTGCCAAAGGAAACTCTCTGAGAGCAGTCACCTATAAAAATGAAAAGGGGGGAGGGGGATAAATCAGATCTTAAGGATGTGAACTTGACTAAACTGGCCTAGGGTTATGTCCAATGATGGGCTTTGGTAATACTGTGTTAGCATGGGAACAGAATATTCAAAACATACTGATGTGTAAAGAAAAAAGGATAAAAATTAAAGAATCTGTTATGAATGTAAAGGGGTGGGCCTTGCACCGCGACCTACAGCGGTCTCTTGTGCCTTGATACTGTTAAGTCAGATGGGCAAGAACACGATAAAGATGACCTAAAGAGAGACCCAAACAATCCTGGCAGGAGGGAACAAAGAACAAGAATATATGTAAGATTTGAGGCTTTCACAGCGGNAAAGGAGTGGGCCTTGCATCGCGACCTACAGCGGTCTCTTGTGCCTTGATACTGTTAAGTCAGATGGGCAAGAACACAATAAAGATGACCTAAAGAGAGACCCAACCAATCCTGGCAGGAGGGAACAAAGAACAAGAATATAGTAAGAAAAAAAAAAGATACGCTGGAAGAAGTAAGATACTGCAAGAAAGTAAAATGTAAAGTTGTCTCCATGCTTAACTACGCCATGAAGGTGTATTGGGGAGTGGTCAGCTTCACACCCCGGCAGCTTTACTCTCCAGGGAAAGAGCTCCTGGTACTCAAATGATAGGAACTGCAAGAAAGTATGATGGGGGGGGGGGAAAAAAATATACAGAAAGACAGACAAATATTGAAAAAGAAAAGAGGAAAGCTTGGACAGCTCTTTGCAAGATTTCTACACCATTAAGCCAAATGCAAGAGTGCACTGAAAGCTTCAGATGTTCACTTTTACTAGTTCATGAATATTAAAGCAACTTATGTGTTTGTGAAAGCACAAATTAATTGTCAAGGCTGCAATCAATAAAAATATGACTGATTGACCTTGTAAGGTTGGGAATGATGTAAACGTACAACCAACAGCTTCAAGCAGACAGTAGAAAAGCATTAAATTAATCTTGCTCTATACACTCACATCAAATTCTGCAAATTTTCTTAGAAGTGGCTCATTGTTTTTTAAACATATTCATGGCATAAAATATTTATGACAAAACAGGTCTCTGACATTGTTTTATAATTTTTTTAACAAAACAAAATTTCAATTTTGTTTAAGTCTCCAGTTGGGGTATCAGTCCTAACTCTCATTCTTTGTTACTAACTTTAAAAATTACTTCCTATATATAAGCTCATCCAAATGTGAGATAGATTTACATGTTATTATTTTGAAATGCATCATCTTTCACTAGTTTTTTTGCACAGCAATAGTTTTTGATCATAACAGATTCCGAAGACCATGGAGGTCTATGTAATTAATTCTGCCAATGATGGCACATGGTTCAAGAGACATAAATACATAATCAGGCAGGGTGTTAAGTTTTTATGTAGTAAAAAACTTACAGGTCACATTGGACAGAGTGATGTATAATTTGTAAAAAAGGCCTTGTTTTATGCAATGGTTTTTCACATGTACAGCAATAAGACACTGACAAGTTCCAATGGTTTCTGATACTATAATGTAGGGCTCGTTATAAGCTGTACTCATTTTACTGCGACTTCTCTGTTACTTTCCACAAAGAGCCTGTACCATGAAGTCAGATTCACTAGTTTTTTATCCAAAGTATTAAAAAAATACAAATTTCCTGAAAAACTATGATAATAGCATGCAGGATAAACCAGAAATCTGTGTATACACACCCACATACCGCCGAGCCCTGTTCTTGTATACTGTGTCTCTATATCACGCAGATGGAGTAAATGTTTCCTCAAACAGAACAAACTCAGCAGCAAGCCTTGTAGTCGAATGGTCTTCACCTTCACATAGTCCCACCTTGCCAGGACATCCCTGTGGAATAAGAATGAATCTTAAAGCGGAACAAGAAGTTCATTTTACAACTTATGATACCGAAAATACTACAAGCTCTACAAAACATGGTATAAATTAATAATCATACAAGTTTGTGATCTATCTCTGCACAAAATTTCTGCAAGTACAGATTTTTACTATGTAAAGCTTATCAGGTATAAACTTAAAGTTTCATGGGAGAAATAACTCTTTAACATTTTATGCACAAATAAATGTTCGCATAAATTTCATAGGAATGGTGAATAATGGTAGACTACATCTGTACAAAATTTTAGGAGCAGAGTCTGATAATTAAGGTTACATGAGGCAAAACATTAAGTAAATGTGCCAATTTCTTCTGGTTCAATCTGACAGTGTTACTGTAAGCCATGAACTATTAACTGAAAATTTTGGCTGTAAATATAAAACAGTGTTTCAGTATATTGACGTCAAAATACACAATTTGAAAGACTGTACAAAACGATGATGATAAAAACATACTAGTTCTAACCTGTATGCATTGGTCCATGGATCATCAAATATTGCATCCATCAAGATGTTCTGCGGCTGTGACTTCACTTCTTGTAGTCTGAAAACAACCACTTATTCAGAAGAGTTTCATACTGTTTGGTTGACAAGAACTAGTGATGACTTGGCATTATAAATATATAAATTCAACAAAAAGTTTTACAATTTATCTAATATATATGTTCTAATTTATTTCATATTTAATAATAAAAATTACGAATTTGCTACTCATCCCTCCATCGACATGGGAATCCGAGTATTCTGAGTATCTTGTTCAGAGTGTTGCTTGTTTCAATCAACTCCCTTCTAACACTGTCACAGTCTGTTGATACATAATAAATAAAGAAATAACAACTCTATTTTTGCCACTTTGGCATTTTCTATCATAACCATGAAAGATTTTCTCTCACCCTATAGCAAAAATGTCAGGCAGTCTTTCTTGGACTTTGTGTTTTCCTGAAGTTCCAAAACCAAGCATTTCTGCAAGATCCTCTTCAGGATGGCGAGTGGCTACATTCCATGTGACCATGTACAGCCTAAGGAAGGAAACCAATTAATACTGTACTATCATAACCCAGGTTACGGAGCCACTTTCAGATGAAACCTTCCTCAATATTTTCCTTGGTTGAGAAATTTTATTAGGGTGTTTTCTTCACTAGTCCTTTGTGACCCATTAATTCTAATCAGACTCTTCACCACCCCTTTAAAAGACCATATCTGTGTGGCACGGATTCCATTTTAGGCCATTTTAATACAATGCAAACCCCTATTTAGAGACCAGCCATATCCCTGACCAAACCCCCTCTAAAAACCATCTCAATAGGAATTCCAGCCCCCGACATCTGTAATCACCAGCGCTGTGAAGAAGAATGCAGACTCCATACCTGAGACTACCCCTGTGCCATGTGCCTACCAGATTAGCACTCTTGACCATGCAGGGCATGTTCCCAACTTCTCATTCCTACCTTAATCTCAAAGTGCCTGAACCTCTGTGTACAGTCTACATAGTCAATTATCCAAATTCTAGCCCATCCATCCCCTATTCAGAGACTGCCCCTATAAAAGACCACTTACGACCGGAATGATCGGTGGTCTTCTTCGAGATGCTCCACTGTACATTCTTTCCCTTTATATAAATATGGAGACAGAGCCAGCTTACAAAATACAAATTTCTTATACATACATGAAATACCTTCATGACAATAATGAACCAGTCACAGACCTATACAACTAAACAATTTGTAACACTTTTCACCACTGCAGATGGTTCTGAGCAGATATGGAATGCTGCATATGGTACTAGGGCCACATTAAACATAAATTAACTTTATTAAATGGACGATGAATGTTTAAACCTTTCCATTCCAATATCAGTTCAGCAGCTGTTCTCCGCTGTAAAAAGTAAAGCAAAGGTATCCCTGTAACAGGCCGTGGAGGCCCATAGGGTTGTGAGATGTTGAGGCTCCCACATTTTCTAGACAATCGGCTCATAGATGGTGGCATGGTTGTCAGCCTTACGTGCCGGCCACCCTTTACTCCCAAGAATATTCCAAGAATATTCCTGGTACTCATTTCGGTTAGATGCTGAGTCGGGGCCGGGGCCATAGAACGTCTGGAAGGATTAGGTCAACTGAAAATAATCCAATGACCTCATCAGGACTTGAAACTGTGACCTTCCAGCTTGTAGCATAGTGCCTCAAGTTCTCAACTGTAAACTGATGAATTAATCAATTCTAAAAAGGTTCTGACAACTGTATATTACACTAGGGATTAATGAGTTTCTGGACTTTATCCATAATCTCACATTCTTGATGAACACAAGAACCCAAAACTGGTTCTGTGTCCACCTTCATGAGAAATGCTGGGTCCAGTGATTGAGACTACCTCTATCTGAAGGACCCAATTGGGTAGGCACCTCCACACTACTTCACATAAGGACAGAAACAGATCCAGTTTCTGAAATATTATGTTATTTCAGAATAATAAATGAAGGGAGGAAGTACAAAAATTCAGTAATCCTGAGTGAAGAATGAATTGCAAGAGCACCACAGATGGCAAGTGAATACAGAGAACTGCCACAGAGCTGGTACTGGGCACTCAAATGTTGACATAGGAGTGGAAGGTATTAGAGTGACTGGCTAATTCCCTGGAAACAGAAGAAGGAAGTTTACAGGGACGCAAGGATACAGCAAGATCTTTGAGGCAAATCATGGCACCTTTCCAATTCCATAACTCTTAGTGAACTCTACAAAACTCAATTCATACCAAATAATTCTAAGTGTGCCTATTCCCCTCAGAAATAAACTGAAGGATATTCTTAAAATAAATCTTACAGACCTAAATTGTGAGAATGTGGTCAAGGGCGAATTAACTGCACAAGTAACTAGTTAACTAATTCACTTACTTCTTACCATGCTCAACACAGCATGCCACTATATGCTACACTGACTCAACTGAATAAAGTCCTCAACCTCACATCATGTTTAAGATCCACCTTAATATTATCCTCCCACATGTGTCTAGTACAAGATTCTGATTCTGATGATTGTGATGATGATAATGAATAATCAGATTCCAAAACAACACAAAGTTAGTAGCAAGATAGCTGCAGGCATATGTAAAATTTACAATGTGAAATAAAAATTATAATTACATTAGATATTTGGAATTTGATGTGTTTATCAAGCAATGCCTTACTGTGAATTAAAGTCATGAAATTGCCAGAAATTTTACGATTTTTGCACAGAAAAACAATATAAAATCAACTTCAGAATTTGACTTTCAAAATAATTACTTCTTTCTGTTCTAGGCTTGCTTTTGAGAGGGAAAATAACACAGCATTATGTGCCTTTTAACTCTATGACAATTGATGAGTCACTGAAGTCAGGGATATGATGTTCCAGTTGTTATCAACATCTGCTTAGAGCATGAAGAAACCTAATTCACCTACCAGTCACAAACCAGTAAAATATACAATGAGGTACTGATTTCCCATGATATTATTGAAGGTACACAAGCAAACATTCCCAAAGGATTAATAAGTACAAGCACATGCACCCGTCTGCTTGGCATTACAACACTGGCAGTTGCTTACTGGATATAAGAATATGGTGTTGTGTGTTGTACAGCAGGTATCAGCTAGACTAGATACCCAGTCTTGAGCTCCACTGTGCATGCACACACAACTCATTCCATCACAGCAAAGCCAGACCTTCTTTTCCTCCAAGAAGAGTATTTTTACAATTATGTACAGTTTAGTATTATGTTAGTAACTAATGGAAGTTCCTATTTTTAGAGCTCACGTCCCAACCAGCCAACTGTCAAGTTCCACAGGTTGAGAAACACAGCCACATGGCAGGAGCTTAAACAACAGCTTTCATGGCACACTTAATAGATACTGCAATTATATCCTGAGATAAACTAACTTCCTGCAAATAATGTCTAACACATAGTGTGTTATTTTATAGATCACAATGACATCACCTGTTATTCAAGTTCTAATGTATGCCAAAAATATATTTAGATCAGCAAATAATTTATGCCNAATGTCTTAAGAAGCACCTGTTTCATCATATTCATCTGTTTTTCATGTATCCCTATATCCATATTTAATGAAACCCAATAAAGTAAACTTCCACAAAATTTAAGTAAGTAATTTTGATGTTGTTTTAGTTTGGTTCATTTTTAAGGATTTGTTTACTTAGAGTCTAAATGAAGTTTATTAAATTCTAGATTCTGACAGATTTTGATGAAAGTTAGTTTATGGCACTCCTGTCTTATGAGTCTTGTAAACTTAATTTTCTAAGTAAGATTTGAGGTTTTCACGGCGGTGACTATGAAGAAAGCAGTCTTCTGGGATGTGGCACCATGTATATGTGGTGTTAACCGATGTTTCAGAGGAACGTTTTGCCTCCATCTTCGGGGTAGCAGGAAAAATATAAGAAATCCGCAGGCGAAGAGACCTTCTACCCTGAAGATGGAGGCGATACATTCCTCTGAAACATCGGTTAACACCACATATACATGGTGCCACATCCCAGAAGACTGCTTTCTTCATAGTCACCGCCGTGAAAACCTCAAATCTTACTTAGAAAATTAAGTTTACAAGACTCATAAGACAGGAGTGCCATAAACTAACTTTCATCAAAATCTGTCAGAATCTAGAATTTAATAAACTTCATTTAGACTCTAAGTAAACAAATCCTTAAAAATGAACCAAACTAAAACAACATCAAAATTACTTACTTAAATTTTGTGGAAGTTTACTTTATTGGGTTTCATTAAATATGGATATAGGGATACATGAAAAACAGATGAATATGATGAAACAGGTGCTTCTTAAGACATTTTTCAAAATGCCTTTAGAAAGGATGAATTAGATTAGTTTAATTTGCATTATTACCCTGTAATCCTTTACTAATATTTAACATACATATAGTGATTAGTTGGGGCTTAATACCATTTATTCAGAAACCTTCCAAAAGTCATGCTTTCTTCTTGTATCTTACTCTGCTGGTTATCTGATGAGAAAAGGTCCATGGGAAAACAAGGAAATTAGGAATGTTTTATGGTATGCATTAATGATATAAACTACTGTTTTATTACATATTTAAAGCTACTAAATAATGGGGGAAAATCTGCTACATACCAAATATCCATGTTGATTTTCATAAAAATGGAAATTCATCCAGTAGAGTGCATGTGAGTCAACTGTAGGGATGGAGGTCCATCCTAGGAAAAACGTCCAGCCTTGTAATTTTTTTGACAAATCACAGGTAATATCGGAACTACAAAAAAACTTTGCTTAAATTAAAAGTTTATATTTGAAAAAACAGTAAGTATAAATATACATCTTAAGTGCAAGTTGTGTGACAAAAAGTTTTGGGATGAAAGCCTGAATTTCTTTTATGATTTTGTTAGGCTGGGTAAAGTCAGCTTCATAACACCCACACTCAATCTACATTTCAAGAAAGACAGATATATAATAAACATGCACTCTACATCTGTGAAACTTCTCCTGGTATTGTTTCCATACATCACTTCCTCAGATACATTTTTTTTCACGACCATAGTTGTGACTGTCATTTGTGTAAATGTAAGCATCAACTACACTGTGATTAACAAGGTTCCATCATAAAATGCCTTTATTGCTTTAGAAAGGGAAATGATTGCTGCATCAATATTAATAAGAGTTCTATCTTCTGGGAAGTAGCAAGCTTGCTACCTGCTTCACGACGATTTCTTGCTTGGCGTATTCTTTGACCCTGAAGATGGAGGCGACATGTTCCTCCGAAACGTCGGTTGACTTTTAACAGGCTACACGGCGTTATATCCCAGAAGATAGAACTCTTCATAACCACTGCTGTGAGAACCTCAAATACTACAGTATTAACAATTCTTAACTAATTCTTACATGACACAGTCTGTCACGAACACATCTTTACGTAAGGCGAGTTTGACGCTTCTCGACACTACTCGCCTTCGTGTTTACCTAGTGGATTACTTACTACGCCTTAATGATACTGACAGTGTATTAACACACAAACGAAAAATTTGCAGTACCTTAGATTATCCATCGCTCTTCCCCCTTACATCAAGCGGAGAGCAGTGCAGCAAGTCCACAGACATTTTTTAAAGCACAACTCATTTTCACTTCATCTTTCCTCCTAACTAATAAACGAAAATAATTAGTATTTTCTGTTGCATATGCATGGCCTAGCATTTCACATTTCCATTCCACAACTCACCTACACAAACTACCTCGGCCTTCAACCACCTTACGTCACAGACAGTCACGTCACAACCGCTCACTAGGTCCAGCCGTGCGCAAAATATCGGTCGTGACGTCACGATTGAGTTATGCTGCAATCTACTTTAAACGCCCAAGCTATCTCTGACACATGGTCGCAGCCACTGCCGAAAGCTAAGTCGGTAAAAAGGCGTACTGCTATCCACTACCGTATCCAAGGCGTACGAAGCTTACCAAAAACCGAGGTCACAGAACAGTGAAAAATTATGCTACCCTGTTTCTTGTACTGCAACGGTTCTTATTCTGTTTTTAGAAATGCGTCTAACTAATATTATTTCACTCTTTTTTTTTTACATTCCCTACAGAACGGACAATACTTTGTAAGATGATGTACCGACTAAATAACTAATCTGTATAGATAATGTGGGACCCTCAACGTCTCACAACCCTATGGGCCTTCACGGCCTGTTACAGGGATAGCTTTACTTTTACTTTTACCTATATTCTTTGCAGACGACACTAGTTTGTTAGTTAAAAGTTCAAACTATGATGATCTCTGTGTAAATATAAACAGTGCTTTTCATAGTATAAATGAATGGTTCAAAGTAAACCAACTTTCTATAAATTTTAACAAAATCCACTACATTCAATTTAGAGCTAGAAATAATAATCCCAAATCTGAAATAAAAATTGTATATGATAAAAAACAAATTACATCTATATCCAATATTTAATTTCTTGGAATATTCATTGATGATACAATGAGCCAGAAATACCACATTGAGTATATTTTGCTTCTTGCTTCCCAAGAGAGAGCTCTCAAGTTCTTCCTTTGTTGCATCTTGAAGAAGTTTGCACCTTTCTTTTTGGAAGCTTTGGCAGGTTTGTTGCTTTGAAATGTCTTTAGTGTTTTAAAAGGGACATAACTCTTTAGGCTTTCCACTAAGGAAATTACAAAGTATCAAGGACAGATAAACTTCTTTCTTTTCCTAAGCAGAAAGTCCTGTTTGAAAAAAACTACAGGGAGATTTTGCCACAACTTTTCTCTCTTCCAAGTACATCCCTCTCACTGTTCCTCAAAGTGGAAAATTATCAGGTGTAGAGAAAGTGTAGATCTCATTAAAATACACACATCATTGCACATTTTTTGGGTGTTTAATACAGAGAGGGGAAAGACAAAGATGTGTTACACACGGCAGTATATATAAGAACTAATGTATATGGGAATTAATGTATATGGTGTTACATATAAGAATTACTGCATTAATTATACAAATCCATTATTGATGTACAGAACAAGATGAAATGCTAAATGTTATTTACACTATCCATAAGTAACCTTGTTCTGAACTAGAAAGCAGAGACTTAATAAATCTATGATACCCAGACAATTGGTAAACCTGCGTATGAGAATATGGCAATGTACAACTGAACTAACACACTGAAAACAATAGAATGTTCTAGAGGCATCTTAGCTATTGTAATAAGTGAAGATTCCAGATTGTTACACTCTGACTGACCAGTATATATAATGCAGCAAGAACAGTACCGAATCACTCTCTGATCTGACACTAAGTTTAGCCCTGAAGATGGTACTCTGTTCAGTTAGAAGTCTGCCACTGCTAAGGACTCAAGCATCAAGCTGTTGTACAACTGTTATCATTTTTGTGTGTACTAAATCTCTTGTTTCAAGCACACTTTCCAGCAGCCATTTCTCTACCAGATGTAGGCCTAACTTAGATTTGCTTGGAATCCTTAACTGGACTCAGGCAAGCAAAGGGACTCATATGAGGACCTTCTGCTAAAAGAGCGAAGGAACTGTTGAAGCTCAACAGGAACCAGCTACGATGGGTGGTAGGACTACTTACAGGACACTGTCACCTCAAAGGACACCTGTTAAAACTGGGACTGAGTGATAGTCCCACCTGTGAGAGGTGTCAGATAAAAGATGAAACAGCCACACACATCCTGTGTGAATGTGAGGCATTAGCTTATTTAAGATTACGTCACTTGGGTCAGTACTTCATGGAACCAAGTGACTATTTTGACGCCCCCATGTCCAAAATCCTGCGCTTCATCCAAAGCGTGGGGTTGCTGAGGGAATAATTAAAAAAAGGGGAAGCACAATGGACCACTGAGGTCTAAGTGCAAGGGCTGAGAAGGCCTACCCCTCATACATTCTATTCTATTCTATTCTAGATTTGCTTGACCAGTCTGCCGAACCGGAGCCCAGGGTACATAACAGGAGGAACAGTTACTATCAATATCTATGATATTGCTGTACTGGAGGATCTAACTCTGGGAGTAAAGTGGCTAAGGCATAAAATTGGCCACTAACCTCGAGTGAGTGTAGTGGTCAAGAATTCATTCATTTATTGTATATTCCATAAATCCATACATAGATATAGAACCAGTCATATAGTTAATATAGTAGAATACAATTATAAATATATATGTACAGCTTATAATCATTATAACAGATAACAAAAACATGTGTTAAATTTACAGTCTTACATCACTATACATAAAATTATGCAATATTAAAATTGTTTATGCTATTATCCTTATTTCTAGGCAAATTTGTTACTAAAGAATTCATCACATGTATAAAAAGAGTTTTGCAATAAAAATGTTGTCAACTGAATTTTAAAAATTTTCAGTCATTAGACATAGATTTGATTTTTGGTGGCAAATGACATAATGTAATTATACCCCACCAAGATATCTTCAACATATGATGCTTAATTACTTAAGCACAAGGAAAATGTTACCTTCTTACATAAACCTGAACTTCTAAGCACTTAGCTTACAATCTCACAAAAGCAATATTCAAAGTAAATTATACTGCCAAGATTGAGAAAATTTCAAACTGATTGTATCTAGTCCTTCCATGCAACAGCCTTCTAAGCCAATGCAATCTATTTTAACATCCATTCTGTCACTGTAATATTTTATGATCTCTTGTATATTTCTTGACCATCAGATACAAACCATGCAATTTCATTCAAGTGACAGTGGTAATGACTTTTATTCTGGAGGTTCAAATCTCTGCCTGGCACTGACCATTCTGAATGGGGATTTTTGTTGTATTACTTTGTCCATCCAGGCAAATGACTTAATGATATTTAAAAATTAGGTCACAACCACTTTATTTTGTATCCCTCTCAATTCATTATTCTGTGGGGTTTTATGTAGTTTTCTCATTACTCTGATGACAACCCACTTCTTCGGAACAGTTTGTTGGCCCTGAAAAGGACCGTGGTTGCTGAGATGCTTGACCGGTGAGGTAGCACGGCGCGCACCGGTAGGGAGAGGGGTTAGTTGCGGTGATTTGACTGGCCATAGCGCGGCCGTTGCTGGAGGTTCCTTGATCGCCGCGCGGCAGGTGAGTTGAAGTTGCGCGGTCGTAGGAGTGATGAGGCAGTGGCTACGCCAGATACCCAGTGGGTCAGACGGGGACACGACCACTGGTGAGTCCAGGCGAGGTGCCCCAGTGCGTCGGGTGTGAGAGCCGGAGGGCCGAGGCAGTTGTGCCTGGCGCAGCCTGCCGATGCCTCCGAAGACCGAGCGCTGGCGACAAAGCCTGCTGGCTGATGTTGCTTGAGTGTGGCTTGATTGTAGACTGAAGTCAGACTGATACTGCCGGTTTGCAGCTGCTCCTTTTTATACGCTGCTCGGTGGGAGGAGCGAAACTTGAAATTGAGGAGGAAGAATTTGCAGGGCGCTGATTGGCTAGCGTGTGATGATGTAGATGTGGGGCTAGTAGCAAGCGCAGTATAAATGCGAACATTTGGAGCAATTTGATTGGTTAGCGCGCGTGATGGTGAAAAGTGATGTGAAGAGTGTGCGTTGCAGAAAAAGCGTGATAATGTGGGATGTTCCCACAATTCATTGCCATCCGACTGCTTCATGCCATGCAGCCTCAGTTACTGATCATATCATTTATTTTATTTATTTTCAGTTTATGAAACAGTGCTGTCAGTACTGCAGATTACATACTGCAAAAACAGCTTCATTAAATAAGGTATGAATAAATATATATCAAACAAAACCTACAGTGATATATTTACATTCCTATATACTTTTACTGCACTGTCATCTTCAAGGGATACCAATATAATTACAATTTAAATGATACAATACTGCATTTGCTTTACATAAATTTAATGACAATGGTTATTATCTTCTGAAGGTTACTGTACAATCAGAGCATGGAGGGATAAGCTTATAACTGTGGATTTGATTTGTTTTTATCATTTGTAATTATAACTGTGGGTTTACAGGTCATTAGGAAATAAAAGAAATACATACATTGATATAACTCAGTGGTTCTCAAGAAGGAATTTCCCCTGGCCATATTTAAAAGTCAGTAATATATCCTCTGGCCAGAGAAATTAAGACATACAAAATTTTGCATGTAAAACAAATACCTTAAAGAAAATTGTTTTAATACTTTTATAAATGGAAGCAAAGTGTGAGGTAAATGTGATTATTGTGACTTACAAATGGTTACTAAATGGGAATATCTTCACTCCATATTCTTCCACAGCTAACCAAAGAAGACTTTTCCCATGAATTTCCTGTGATATATATCTTTCAACAAATGAAGGTCAAGATTTGAATCTGTGTAGCACAGACTCACAACACCCACATAAAAACAACCACTGAATTTAGAGAAGATGTAAGGGAAATTTATCTCAAGACTGGAAGAAGTTTTCAACAAATCTACATACTTATTAGTTATGAAAGTAGCTGGTGACTGCACTTGAGAATCACTGATCTAACTTATACTGTCTATGAAATGGAAAGGAGTTTGAGTTCAAGTTCTTGTAAGGAAGTACAACTCTAAAAAAATATTAACTGCTGATGAGACTACTGTCAGAAGATACATGTAGTGCTATGAACTATAAGTCTTCTTTCGTATTTTACGATGAGAGATTATAAACAGATGTGTAGGTATAAAAATTTGAGACAGCTTTGACTATTGTTTAACAAGGCAATGGAAGGCAGTAATCTTCAAATGCATACATTAGCCAAAATTTCAGTTGCTATAAACAAACACAATGATGTGCATACTGTTGAGAACAACCATGGCAAAGATAAGCATAAAAATAATTAAAAATTACTATATATGAAACCATCATAACAAAAAGATAGACAATTCAAGAATGAAAGCATTTAGTGCTGGTTATACAGCAAGTTCTCCCAAAAATACTTTGATGAAAGAAACTTGCAAACAGAAGCTGAACCAACTTAACAGGCATAGCATCAGGCTCTTCCACCTGAGTGTGTTCTCAATAAACAAAACTGTATAACCCATTTGATTCATAAACAAGATTCATTTCTTACATGACCAATGACTACATTCCTGCATAGCACACTACATGCCAAGTTGCATAGCAGCATCCTTAGGGGTGCTGTAGGGGACACTGGCATGAGAAGGAGTATATCTGTGGTACAGATCTGAAAGTCTGGGCCCCCATTGTTTCTTGATACACTCCCATACCCTGCGCTCCAAAACAAAGATCAGGAATATGATAACTCCTTGCAGGGTGTTGATGAAATCAGTGACATACCAAATATATTCAGACCCTCCTGCAGCCCATGATATAATCTCCATGACCCAGTTGATGCCCATTGCTCCAAACAGGACCAGGCACTTGTAGAATCTGTGAAGCACAATTTAAAGTTTCTGTGTTGTGGAGAGTATATGAATTTCTTAAATGGAGGAAACATGATGCTGAAATTACTGACATTGGATAACTGAATCTGAAGATAAACGAGGGAAAGCCTTAAATCAAGGAACATTAAATGGTGATTCCACTGTTCTACTTGGTACAGACCTACCACTAAACTACATAAAAAATTCTTGATTTGACACATGGAAACAGCCAGATGAAGACTACCTCACCATAATCTTTTCACTTTAAAAGAATAACAGTTGGTTAGTTGTTTATTAGCCAACAATTCCCAGCTGGCAGTATGTGCATAACAAAGCAACATTTCTCCTTGTCAAGCACATGCACGCATGCACGTGTGTGTGTAGAAAGGTAACGCTATCCCTGTAATAGGCCGTGAGGACCCCTAGGGTTGTGAGGTATTGAGGCTCCCACATTTTTAGACAGTTGGCTCACAGATGGCAGAGAGGTTCTCAGCCTTACGCGCTAACCACCCTTAACCTCCCAGGAAGATTCCTGGTACTCATTTCTGTTAGAGGCTGAGTCGACTCCAGGGCCACAGTGCGGATGGAAGGATTAGGTAAATTGAAAAAAATCCACCTCATTGGGATTCAATCCCGCGACCTTCCGGCTTGTAGCATAGTGCCTCAACCAACTATGCCACTGCGTACCCCGTATATAAAGGGAAGTAGGTTAAAAAGTACATTTTTATTTATATAGATATACATTTTTTTTTTTCATAATTTTTAACCTATTTTCCTTATTTATTCGGAAAGTAGGCTTACTGTTACATCATGATTGGGAATGAGTGTCTATATCTTTTTGCCTAACAACAACGAGTATTAAATTTTTGTGTAAACTGGTATGAACATCATGCTGCTACAGGTCATTCCATCTTTCTGTTCTTAATGCTTTATCATCAGGACCAGCAATACTGTGACCATACAAATATTTGAGGGTGGGAGCAAAACTGAAACATTTTAATTTAGGCTTGTGAAATCCTACATGGCAACATCTTCAGAAGGTATTAAACTTTTGTTAAGGTAAATTGTTAAAGACAAATTACAAATGTGCATATAAAGTCTGCATGAAACACTATGTTATGAACTTAAAATTACTGAATTGAATTGAATTTATTTACATTCTATAAATCCTAAGCAGGTTAGTACCTTTGGATACAGAACAAGTCAAAAAGGTTACATACATAAGTACAGGCAATTTTAGCTTAAAAATTAATATAACTTAATTTTACATCATTCTCTATTTACATTGAAGTATTCATCTAAAGAGTAGAAGGAATGAGCATGCAGATAATTCTTTAACTCTGAAATTCTTTAACTCTTTATGGACATTGTGATGAAGTGAATTTTTTTTAAGTTACATATGAAAATTTAAGACAGTGGGGATCTATGGGCCTACCAGTGAAAATGATGCATAGAAATAGACCACTAAATTTTATAATTATTAATTCTCGCTAGCCCCTCTGTTTAGATATGTATATTTGGTGGAAGGTAAACAAATCTCAATTTGCATCCAAGACATTTAGGTATCATATTTCCATTTTTATTCTGGAAATTTCTGCTACGGAATTTAATTGTTCTGATACCTGTATTTAATAGAACAGGCGTCCCCAGCACTCAATATGAATAGAACTGTTCCATCCACACAAATGAAACAAAAACATACATTTCATGTCTTGCACTGCAAGATTTTTAAAGAGGTGTGTTACAATACAATGTTATTTGTCTATTGTTGATTTCATATTAGAATAACTGTATGCAGGACTCACATTTTATGAGGTCTGTGCTCTCTCCAGTTGTGGCTCAAAATCTTGTAGGCCGACAAGATGAACATCAGAATATTAAGAGAGATAATGACAGCCACAGGAGCGTAGAAATAGCTCATTTCTGCAATATCACCTGCAAATGGACACAGAAATGTGCTTCAATAATGCTGTAAGCACACCCAGCTTGAACCTCACCAGTGGCTTAGCAAGAGCTGTGTCATTTCCCGAGTAACTGCAACTAATCTCATGTATCTTAACACTAAAGAGACTGGAGGCTCTGTTTAAATTGTCTCCAGCATCCCAAGGATCTGCATAAAATGTGTTTCATGATTTTTTTCTGCAAAGCCATAAAGAAAATTGGACTGTGCTCACCAGGATATATAAATCTGGAAGACTACTGTCTGGGGAAACGTGGGTAAGGACCATGGTAATGCATGGAGAAATTGTTCTTGTGGGAAGATGTGGAACAACAGTCCAGTCAGTCACCATCTCACTCGATGGAATCAACCTGTATGGGTGATGAGGATTAATACCAAAATTGACAGAAGAAGATAAATTTAAATTCAGATCTTAGACAATCAAAAAAAAAAAAAAAAAAAAAAAAAAAAAAAAAATATATGAAATCCATAAAATGAATTAACAGAAAATCAATAAAAATGAAAATAATGAAAAAGAGTGAATACAGTGTAGTCTGGTAGAAATTCACTGATGTTGCTCCAGAACATCAGTGACTTCTACCAACTACATGATTTCAACCCCAGAGGAGTACTGTTCATAGTCACCATTCTGTGAACCCCAGATCCAAAATAAGAGTGAAAAATACACATTCCAATCAGGAAGAAGTAAACATGAAGTGGATTTGTATTGTGTGTATAAATTCAATCAATAAAGCAACAACTCAATACCTTTTTTTAGCCATGTACAATGATATATCATAATTTCATTTTTACATGACACACAAACAGCACTGAAATATGTTTTTTTTTTTTATTTCTAGTGGGGTGGGACTAAGTTCCTTGTACTGTGGCCACGTCTGGCCTATTGTACCAGCCTCAGATAATAGGTGAGGGTGATTGTGGAGCAATTGGTGGAATGAAGAGTGGCAGGGGAAACCGAAGTACTCAGTGAAAACCTGCCCCGGTGCCACTTTGTCGACCACAAATCAGTGAAATATGTTACTAAAATATAATACAGTAACAAATATACAGATAAAGAACCTTTTATTACACTCTGAATATTTATTTTGTATGACAAAATTTGAAAAGTTGTTGCCTCCAGTCGCTGCCATTTCAAGTACCATTCTCTCTAACAAAAATCACAGTTTATTTTGATTTCTAAAGGACTGTTATATGATGCATGAATGCTTTACAGCAACTGGATACTTGATGGTGGAAAGAGAGCCTATTACCTCCCAGGACTCCAACTACCTACACACGGGATCCAGCTTAATATGCAGTACTCAACCTCATAGTTCCAACATTAACTGAGAATTTCACTATATAGTAATCTTCACCCATGAAAAACTTCCATGTGAAACAACTCCTGTGACACAACTTACAATTCATCATACATTCATGACTCATTACTTCATCAGACGTCAACAACTACATACTCACATACTATGTCACATCTACAGGATACAAGAGTCTTCCCCAGCATTGTACAACACATCTTATACACCACACAGAGCCTATTATACATACATCATTCCAAGGAACTTCCAGAGAAATTACATGATGCCTTAGGAATATTCTAACAAAATATGGTTCTTTTAAGAAAAGCCAGAATTAAGAGGGTTAATTTGTGTGATGGACCACCTCCATGGTCTACTGGTCAGAGTGCTGTCTCCATATTCATGCCCGTTCTTCTACCCTGAAGATGGGGACAGCATATTCCTCCGAAATGTTGGTACCTACTGTAACCGCACAATGCAAAGGACTCCAATGTTTTGTTCACATGTGTCGGTACTTGTCGCTACATCAAAGTAGAGGCAATACCTCACACCCCACTCCAACCAACGGGACCTGAACCCTTTCGCAGTTCCGGGATGGTAAAGTTTATGACGGGTCACAATCCCCGGACTAAACCCAAACCAGCCCGACACTCTCCTTACTTTTAGAAAGCGCCATCTGTACTAATAAGATAAATATGTCCAAAGACATTGAAAAGAACTTTTGTCACTGGAGAGAGGTGGCCCTCTAACGGTCATAACTCTCCAAAGGTCAAAACCTGCCTTTAGAAAGGAGCGGCGAATCATTTCATTAGTAGAGGAACGGGACCAATTTCCAACACCTGATTCATCACGGACCTACTCTTAGGAGACCGTTAGATTGAACCCTCTCAATCCACCCCGGGTCAGAAAGACGGTGAGAGCGTGTGAACCCCAACTCTCGCCGCGAAACAGCTGACCAGTGGAGGAATGAGAAATCTATCGAACCCCTCCCCCTTCTAAATTCAGCCAACCCGGAGATTTGGAAGATGACAATGAGGCCTTCTTCAAATTTTGGCAGGACCTCTGAATATTCAAAAACGGAGAGTGAGTTCCTGTGGAGAGTCTCGTAACCACAGTTAAACTCGCCGGACGCGGAGCTAGCCCTCTCCATCGTTTGTTAAGGAAATGAGTGTTCGAGCAACGGGAGATCATAGTAGAGTAACGCACTGAATTGTATCTCAGCGGCGCTCAGATAAAACTATCAATAAAGTTAAGTGGTGCCAAGTGTTTGTGTGTCCAGCGTGTTGTTTTCTTCCTCGTCGGAGTAAGGCCCTAAACGACCTGAGCCAGAGTCTCACGCCAACCACTACTAGCCCGATCATCATCAGCTCCCACCCCGTCCACCTTTTCCCTTCACTTCGCAGCTGTACCCACAGTTGCTGGCGCCCATAGACCATCCAGTCCAAGTCCCGGACCTGATACCCTTTCCATAGTGAAGAGAAGTGGTGGAGTTGGAGAAGTGGTGGAGCCAGGTGAAACAGACCTAGCTGCAAGCTCCACGACCAACGACGGCAGTGGCGAGAACAACCAGAGAAAGGAAAGAAGGTAAAGAGTAGGGACCAACCGGTGTGGCTGAGGTTACACAGAGGGGGACGGTAAGACTACTGACTACAAAACTACAAGGCGTAACAATCCAGAATATAATAATTTTCACAGTTGCCTCCGTGAGACCGCCTCTGTGGTCTAGTAGTCAGTGTTCCTGGATACAGATCCAGAGGTCCCGGGTTCGATTGCCGGCGCTACCATATTTTCTGAGAAGTAGTGGGTCTGGAACGGGATCCATTCAGCCTCATGAGGATAACTGAGATGTTATTTCAAGGAAATAGCGGCTCTGGTCTATAAAACCGAGATTAATGGCCCTGGGGATCCGTTGCGCTGACCACGTGACACACACTATCCGCAGAAGTTGCCACTAACTTCGGAACAAGCGGCGGTTGCTCAGTTGGTATAGTTTGCTTGCAGACTAAAAACACGGAGTTTATTCGTTTTTTTTTTTGTTTAATTGGTGTGAATATGGTAATATTCACAATATGGTACAATTACTGAACTGAATAAGAACTAAAATTATTGAAGAAATATACAATGCGTAAAATTTTCGAGACAGACAATTTTTGGGTTTAAGTGTCTTGTTAATTCAGACAAAATTATGTCACTTACTGCTGAACCAGCACTTGTTGTCACCAAAGTTGGGCTTGAGGTATGATGATGGAATTGTCGGCATTGAATCAATAGCCATTGAAAAACCCACAACCAGAACTGGTAAGCCCCAGGCATACCCGGAGTAGTACCTGAAGATCTTACGCTCGGTCTGTTTTGGTATGTGCACTTCATCGTTACTGAATACCGTGTAGCACAGGTACTGGTTTTCAGGACAATCTTTGCGACATTGCTGCAACCTCACACTGGCTCTGTAAATAAACATACCAAAACATGACATGAAACTGGTCTCTTTCAACTTCAGCATCTGCATGTTCATCAGAGTTTGTCATACAATTTTTGAACAGATTTTAATGCAGAACATAATGCATTTAAATATGTGGGATACAATTTGTATTATGAAGGAGATAAATATCCAAATATCTGGTATCATAAACCAAATACCCAAAGCAGGTTCTGTTCAAAGGGTGCTAGAATCAAAATTTACAAATTGCTTCCTGGAACATCATCATCATCATATATCAGTGAAGTATGAACCATAGAAAGGGTTAATGACAAGATTAAAAATGTCTTCAATAAAAGACTTCATGAAAATCTAAAAAACGAAATCAGAGAGAATGAGATCTGATACAGTTCCAAACCTCATTCTGATAGATAAAAAGCTATGACTTGCTCTTCTGTTGTTATTTCACTTGCACATTTGTTTGAAAATAGCTGTAAATACAAAATAGGTTGACAGGAGTGGAAAGTATGCGAGTCAGTTTACAGTGTCCACTTTTGCAGAGAAAACCTTTTCCAGATACCAGCACCACTTGATGCACACTTTTATTCCATCAAGTTTATAACCTTAGTACAAATGTAGCTGTCTTTCCAGAATTTTAGAAGTTACTAGGTTAGATAAGAAATTATACTTATTTTTGTAAATTTCAGGTCAAAATTTCAGCAGGCTTTATGCTAGCAATGAGATATTGATGAAAAAGGAACACAGAGTTTAGGAAGACCTTTCAGATAACAGAAAGACTCAGTTTCCTATAACAGAACAACTGATCATGGTACTCTTTAGTATAGCTCATCTCCCCTTGGTCCAAATATTTTGTTTAGTGCTGTACGAGAATTACAGGTTATTTATAGAGATTATTTAAGCATGGAATGAAGGGATTCTCATTATGTGGAATTTTGTAATTCTTCTTCTAGTGTTGCTGAGGTAGTCAAATGAAAGAGGGGTGAAAGAGAGGGAAAGCAAAAATTATGGAGCATGTTTTGAAGAGAAACCACTTGTAAAACAGAAACATTGCATAAATTTTAATACTGAGAGTTGGTTTATACTTGATCACATGATAAACTTCTCTGGCAGTAGTGATGAATGTTTGGATTACACGGGTTCTTATATATCAATATTCTGTGCCAGATGTAGTCAGTTATATTTTATGAACTAAGACATGACTATACAATTGTATATATAAATAAATAAATAAATTATATCAGCATGTCAATAATGCTGAAATCTAAAAAAGGCAGTAAACATTTAATATTCTCTGAGCCCTTATTTTGAAAATTATACAATTGTAAGCAACAGAACAATATAACAAAAAGGAATGCATGTACCATGGAGACAGGATAAGCTCAGCTGGTATAGTGACAGCCTATGGGCTGGACAGCCAGGGTTTGATTCCTGGCAGTGGGAAGAGATTTACCTCTGCTCTACAGCACCCAGATCAGTCCTGGGCCCACCTAGCCTCCTATCCAAAGGGTTCAGGGGCTCTTTTCTTGGGAGAAAAGCAGCTGGGGCATCAATCTGACCACTCACACCTCTTTCTAGTGCCGAGATCAAGAATGGTGGAGCTATACCTCCACTCCCCACACATCTTCATGGCGTGGTGCTTAATTGATTTGGTACAGAGATGATGATGCCGTGATGCATGTACCATACATGTTTAATCACATGTCAGGGTTAAAATGACACCTGGGTTCAAATTTCAAGCAGTGACAGTACCTCAAATAGCAGCTTGCTACTAGCTAAGTAATTGTAAATACTGGTTGGTTTTCAAATAATGCCACTCAAACTGTGAAGAACAGCCTGGTCTCTTATCACAAAAATATGGCACATCTTCAGGTTTGGCTTATGTTTGGTTTTTGTGTTTCCTTTGGCCTTGTTGAGTAAATTATTATTTTGCTGTTGCATCTATATTGATTTGATTGCTTTCATTAAAGGTGGAGAAGACTGCTGTTTCATTGTTTGGGAACCATTTAATTCATAAAGCAATCACTATTTTGAAGTCATGGTGATAAATAATAAAAAGGTGTCTCGAAATACTTACAGCACATACCACGTGGTGTTGAAACAGAGGACATTCAGCCATAAGAAGCAAGCCAGAAATGAGAAATGAACCACAAGAGCTGCAAGAAAACACCTTAATTAGTTACACAAATCAGTCAACATCAAGCGTTCCTGCACTCAGTTGCAGTTGCCAATATCGATGTCATAGCAGCAGTGAAAAATCTCACTTTCTGGATGGCTCGAGTTCAATTCCCTGCATGCAAGTTTATATTATTCCCTTTTTCATCACCTTCAGAGCCACTGTGACACCCATGCATGATCATATCCAATGGCAGATTCAGTTCTGGGTTATATAACAATATTATTTTGACTATAAAGTTTATGAAGTGTTAAATGAGATTGGAAAATGATCATGAACACTGATTCATTAAGGATTTTGATGGAATGAATCGTGTTATATTTCAAGATACTATTCTAGAATCTATCTCAACATAATGAAGAGAAGCACAAAATCTATCTATCTGAATGGCCTTATTATCCAATTGATATTGAAGAGACTTCTTCCTGGGGTAAAGCCAGCTAGAGGTGTCAACGTTAAACATCAATGAGTGAATGATGCAGAGGATGAGTAACAGAGAATAATATCAAAAGTGGAAGGAAGGACAGCTGCCCCTCAACACAATATTACACCCCTCAGTGAGTCCAACAGGCAGATGTCTCTGTACTTAAATATGTATTATGCCATGAAGACATATGGGGAAACATGGGTGTAGTTTGTTAGTCTGTTATAAAAATATTCTGATCATTTTAAAAATGTGTTTACTTGTAATTAGAGGGCTAAGCTCTTCCCAGTCTCTAGGAAAGCACATCAAATCATTGTCATATAAATCAGTCAACGGACTGTTAAGAATAAAAATTCCTTCTTTAGGATGAGGGAACACCAAGGAAACTGGGATCTGCAATGCAACCACAGTTTCCATTCAGTAACATGTTTTCAACTTAGGGTGATAACAATTCTCGGAAATTGCGGTTTCCAGTTTCATTGGTGTGCCCTTGCCCTTATTTATAAAAGAAAGTTATGCACAATTCTGCGATCGAAATGGTGGGTTATGGATCATCACAACACAGGATGCACGTGGTTGCCACTGTTCTATAATAGGAACGTTATGAATAATAATGACATATTGAGGTCATGTCCATGTCAAGTTGTATGAGGACACTACTTAGGAATTATAAAGATACAGCCCCATGCAAAACATAATACAAGTAATTTGATTTCTGAGAAAAGCAAATGAACAATTCTTTGCAGATAATAAGAGGTTGTAAATGAGGAGTGACATCGGTCAAGTGCGAAATATGGTTCATCTTTCTGGCATTATCAGGGGTTCTATATGCTTTATGTAAAAATAAGGCCTTGTGGGGACCAGCATCCGTCAGTCTGTCAGTATTCATATTTCAACTCTAATATCATATGATAGATTGCGGTGAAATTTGGTATACGAGTTTACAAGATAACATTTTTCAGTGGAGTGTAATTTTAGTTATATGATTTGCTGTTTATTTAATTCAATATGCACTAAAAAAGAAAGAAATGAACAAAATAATTCATGAAATGGGAGCCTTCATAACCTGTACTCTTGCTTTGAGTTGCTGGAGGTAATTCTAATGTAGTGGCATGGACTGGGCATTGAGAAAATGAGAATTGAAAATTATAATTGGAAAAAATGTAAAAAGACCACCTCTGGGAGACCAAGAAGCAGAGAGTGATGCAATATTTGGTAGATTTTAGAAAGACACATTGGGAGAGGATGTGTACTGAATTTTGCTGAGAATTACTGGGTTTCTGGACTTATTAAGATACATGCTAGTTGTTTGAGGCCCAGAGTGTAAAAACCCACCAAACAGTTCGTCTTGTCAGCAGATCTCGACATTTGGCCCATATGCGTCGCACCAGACTTTTCACCTCAAACAGCTTTCATGTATCTTCGCTGGGAGTGACGTTATCAGTTTCTTTACTGGCTGTGTTCATTTTGGACGCCTTGTACGTTTTGGGACTGACTGTGGTAACTAATATCATGTCGTATATCATGTAACAATGATCTATAGAGACGAAATAAATAAATAAATAAATAAATAATGACTCACTGGAGATAAGAATGTACAATTTGGTATGTTCTATCTGCAGACTTTATGGGACATTTATCTTGTGTTAATGTTCAGAAATATGGTGACAGCACGCACCTTTCAGATGTCTGACAACGTTCAGGTCTATAACAGTAGAAATTCTGCACAAACACAGATCTGAAGTTACACAGGAACGAATTCGTAAGTTCATGCACGTATCTACACAAATGGAAATATACAAATTCTTGCTTTGTGTGACTTAAATTTTCTCATGGTGGGGCTCCGTGTAGTCCGGAAAATACTCGTATTTATCAAAGTTTAAGATGAAAACAGCACATACCTTCGAAAAGTAGGTAAATAATCTACCAGATTATATGGCGTCATATCCTAGACGACAGGAATCTTCAATTTCTTGTTAACTTCCTTCCTGTACTTTTTCGGTCATTTGTATATTTATTTCGTCATGTATTTCCCCAAACATTTCTTCCTTTTTTAACGTCAGTTCTTTGTTTCCAATTTATTTAATAATCTTAGTTTATTTTACTACGTTTTCCCAACTACATACGTTGCAGGCTTGTATTCGCACAGTTGAACGAAACGACGGCTTTGCATAGTGAACTGGGACAATGTCAAAGAAAGATGCAATGTTCTATTTCACATAGTAAGAGAGGAAAACAACCAAAATCCAAGGCATGATAGCCAGCTTGTGGACCAATCATGGGGCCTTTATGACCAGAACATAAGACAGGCGTTCCAGTAGCTACACCGCGATGTCTTCCGGTACTAAGGGACACAAAATCTGACGTATAAATGGCAGTAGCACTGGATGTGTCAAATATTACCCTTCCGAATTTTAACTTCAGGAAGCTCGCCTTTGTTTCGTCCACCCAGTATCTCGTACCGCATTTAATGGCAACTACAAGCACATACCATTGGCAACAACACTGTCAACGAAAGAATTGATTAACCAGTACTCACCGACAAAGATGCACAAATCCTGGTTCATTGTTTCCCCAACAAGCTGCACAGCGGCCAAAAAAATGTAAGCAACTGTTAGGCACATGACATGGCAGGTCAGGGACTTGCCGTGCAGATCCCTGAGCTCAGGGATCAGACAGTATACCAGCATGGTGAAGATCAGAAATGGTACAGAGATCAGTAGCCCTGAAACAAACATGGTCTGTAACCAGGGCTGTTCCTAGGGAAAAGTACAGAGTCGTCTTGGGCATTACAGCTGAGCATTGTTTAGAGATCCTCTCTCGTTGCGGAACCCGAGCGCTGATCACTACGTTCAAGAACGTTCAAGAAGGTTCGCCGCTGGATCCTGTCTGATATAGTCCACGATCCTAACGTATTCACTGGCATTCACTTCATCTTTATGCCTCCACTGACATCAAGATCTTTCAAGCGCCCTTCTTTACACAGCCTAAAGCAGGGTTTCTTAAATTTGGTGATATCGCAATTTACGGGACATTATCCCCTCCCCAATCACTGCCCGTGCAGTTTTGCACATTGTTGCAGGTCCCTATCAGATCACTCGGCCTCAGCAAAAACCAAAATAGCTAGACAACATTTCTGTGGCAAGCTATAAAATGTTCCTAAAGAGTCACGAAAAAAACGTGAAATATTTTGCCAGATGCAGGCACCGGTACTGGGGCCGCCGTCACAACACTAAGTGCATTGACTGCAGTTTTGTAAACGGTTTGCAACACACATGTAATATAAAAGTTTATTATAATCAGCACACTACATGTTTCGGTCTGGAGACCACCGTCAGTTGCGTATACGCATAAAGAGACAAATATAACACGTTATTGCAGATTTATTTGGTTAAATGGATCCATTTTTCAAATGTTATAAAATATTTTATGATTTTGTATAAATATAAGTCGTACGGAGCTGAGCCCTTCTCGAGGAGCCGCCATTTCAGCAGCTACTCAAGAACTTCCCAGCATTTTATGGAACCCAAAGGTTCATTACCATGTTCATAAGAGCCTTCCACTGGTCCCTATCCTGAGCCAGATCAATCCAATCCATACAATCCCATCATATCTCTCTAAGATCAATTTTAATATTGTCCACCTACCTATGCCTTGGTCTTCCCAGTGGTCTCTTTCCATCTGGCTTTCCTACCAATATCCTACTTAATGTAGTTACAAGGCACAATTTTTTATGTTAATGACGTTGTAATAGTGGTTTCCCAAGTCCTTCTGAACATGGTCAATCCGACGTATTAAGGAAAATGAAATAATGAAATATGACTTTTATTAATCAGTCACACTGGATGGTGCTGTGGATAATTTTATGCTATATCTTTTCACGTTTAAGTCAAGATCTAGCACTGGGATGGGGGAGAACGGAATTGTAACAAGACTAAAGTTTCACAGCGCAGGTTGGTAGGATGCTGTTTAATTTAGGCGCAGTACGCAATGGCTGGAGGGGTTTGTACGAATTTAGGCGTCAGAGTGGAGGAGGATTGTGTGTAGGTTTCTCAAAGTTTGAAAATATCTGACACCACGCAAATGACTGACTTGGATGAGGAAACGAGATTGTACACCCACTAATTATGACATATTACCTCGTTATCGCAGTGACAAGAGATTACGGCGCAGTTCAACGAGATTATGGCGACCGAGAAACAACGGCTTCCACTTATCGTACTCGTCCAATCCATCGTCTTCAAAGAAGCGTCCGCACCCACGGCGAGTCTTTTAAAGCATAACGGTTACTATGTGTACCATTTATTTTGGCAATAACAGCTCTGCATACTACCAACAAAGTACATTTATGTGTTTCATGATTCAGAATCAAGTGTGGAGACCAATGTTATTATTTCATGGCTTATTTAGCAAAGTTCTATCAACTGCTTTGTTTATATACCATCGAATAATATGGTGATATCGAAAGTTGCTATGTAGTGTACTGTTTCGTAAACGGTAGGTTGTCGGTTCGATTCTCGGCATGGAGTCTACTACCACGGTTGAGGTTTCTCATGCTTTTACTACGTCCCTACCAGAAATGCCCTCAGAGTTAAGTTAAAACAGGCCACTACCTTTTGCTTCCACATTCTTTTCAGTTTTTTTATTGCTAGTGGAGTGGGGCTAAGTCCCTTGTACTGCGGCCACTTCTGGCCTATTGTACCAGCCCTAGATGATAGGTGAGGGTGATTGTGGAGCAATTGGTGGAATGAAGACTGGCACTCGGAGATAACCTGCCCCAGCGCCACTTTGTCCACCACAAATCCCACTTGACCAGACCCGGGATCGAACCCGGGCCGCCACGGTGGGAAGCCAGCGACTAACCGCTTGAGCTATGGCGCGGCCTTTCTTTCCAGTTAGTCACGCCACGAATACCGATGCACACATTTGAAAGAGCGTCATTAAATTAACGAGACTCAATCGAGGCAGGATTAAAGAAAACTATACACTGAAAATTTATTTTGAGGGACGAGGGGTTATTTTACGACCCTGTCAGTAGGTACACTAGTGTTAAATGATAGGATGATTGATGAATCATGAATTAGAAAGGATATTGAAGGAAACGGTCGTGGGCAAATCGAGATACTACCTGGAATCTACTCTGAGAGACTGAGTAAAACCATGAAAGACGTGACACAAGATAGCTGTTATCGCGGTCAAGATCTGAACCAGGCACCTCTAGAATTCAAGCGTTACCGCTACGGCCACCAGCTCGGTCAATATATCGAGAAGAGGAGAAGTCTTCCTACCGTGGAGACTTGTATTAAATCTCTGGGCAGCACATTTGCGATTTCTAGTGCAAAACGTAGTACACGAGTGTTTGTGTCAGAAGATCCTACTTCGGTCTACACTGAAAGTAAAAATTTTACCAATAATCCACTTTCATTTATTGCCCAAAACAAAAGAAACAGATAAATATGGCGAGAGAGGTACTGAAAAAGCCAATAAGAACGGTGGGATCATATTTTTTTGTGGGAAGGGGTTATTGATAGGATTCTTCCAATAGCTGATAACATTGTTTATATCTTTACACGTGTCAAACAAACGAAAAATATGCCCCGCCCGTTAGCGTGGACCTGGTGCTGTAGCGACTTATCTACTGCCTTAAAACACTGAACTCATTTATGGTCTCACTGCGCACGGCACGGGGCATGAACATCTTCTGGTCAGATTTGCAACGCTGCATCCTCAGTCACTTCAACAGCAGGAAAATCAAATCGTAAGCCGCTAGGAGATGAATGGGAGGCAGTGTGAGCAACACTAAAGTCGTAAGATTGGAGGCTTTCACGGCGGTGACTATGTAGAAAGCAGTCTTCTGGGATTTGGCACCGTGTATATGTGGTGTTAACCGACGTTTCGGAGGAACGTATCGCCTCCATCTTCAGGGTAGAAGGAAAAAATATAAGAAATCTGCAAGCGAAGAGACCGTGAGAACCGATATAAGCAGACTGTCTTCTTTTACCGGTTCTCACGGTATCTTCGCTTGCGGATTTCTTATATTTTTTCCTTCTACCCTGAAGATGGAGGCGATACGTTCCTCCGAAACGTCGGTTAACACCACATATACACGGTGCCAAATCCCAGAAGACTGCTTTCTTCAACACTAAAGTCCTCTTACCTCAACTGAAACTCACCTTCACACGGGACACGCTTTTGAAGAAGAGTACGCTGTGTTTATACCCGTGGTGAGGTCACAACAGATCGTGAGTGGGGACAATGTACCTGCCAGTAACTTACTGACGTGTTATTGTGTTAATGGTGAGAGGCAGCCGTCTCCGAATATTTCACTTCAGAAACTGCTAATGGTGAGCTTTATCTCGAATCGATATTATATTTTTATTTAGAGACAAGGCTAGGGCTTCTTTCAAGGGACAGGTTCTTACACAAAACAGATAACGAAGAACACGACAACCACAGCTTACACTTTCATCATAGTAAAGTTGTCCCTGTGCTTAATCATTTAAGCACTACGCCATGAAGGCGTATGGGGGAGTGGATGTATAGATCCATACTTTCTGAGACCTCGGCACTACCTGGAGGTGAGTGGTCAGCTTCACGCACCGGCCGCTTTATCCCCGGTACTCACTGGATAGGAGGTTGGGTGGACCCCACAACTGGTCTGGACAACATGGAGAAGAGAAAATTCTTGACCCTATCGGGACTCGAACTGCGACCCCTGGGTCGTCCAGCACGTAGCCAGTCGCTATACTGACTGCGCTACCCCGGCTCCTCCTTTAATCACAGAGCAGGCTATTTCATTCAAAGTCTAATTCTTCATTATTTCAGTGAGAAAGAGAGGGTGTGTGAAAGAGAGAGAGAAGGGGGGTACACTCTTTTGGGGCCAGTGGAATACATCATAGGATTTTTATATATGATATCTTTTTTTCAATGATATTTCGTTTCAGTATTTGGAATAATAAAAAATATGAACATAAATTTTAAAAATAAATCTTCTGAAAAATATGATCTACATTGTTTTTTAAAAAATAACACAGTGATTAGAATTTTTGGCTATTGAACTTTTAAACACAATCTTAATACTCATTTCTTAAAGATAAAATCTCCTGCCTTGACAATTTTTGAGCCTTGTTCACAGTTCCGTGAGTTGAAAAAGGTTGAGGATCTCTATTCTAGAGAATCGGCTAGCAGATGGCGGTAAGATTGTCAGTCTTACGCGTCAACCGCCCTTTACCCCCCAGAAAGATTCATGGTACTCATTTCTGGTAGAGGCTTACTCGACCCTAGGCCCGTAAGTGGCTGGAAGGTTTAAAAAAATTAAACTGCGTGGCTTTTAGTCCGCAAGCGAACTATACCGACCGAGCGACCGCCACTTGTCGGCGAAGTTAGTGCCAACTTAAGCGGATAGAGGATGTCGCGTGGTCAGGGCAACGAATTCCCACGGCCATTAATCTCGGTTTTCTATACCGGAGCCGCTATTTTTCCAAGCAAGTAGCTCCTCAATTATCATCTTGAGGCTGAGTGGACCCCGTTCCAGACCCACTACTTCTCAGAAAATCTGGTAGCGCCGGGAATCAAACCCGGGACCTCTGCTGGAAGGATTAGGTCAACTGAAAAAAATCCAATGACGGCNGCGAACTAACGACATAAGCCCAGTCGTTACGTCAGAGCCTTGCAGCAGTTGCGTCATACGAGAGGCGTCTAACCCTATTTCACAATGAAACATTCCAATCTACACCACAATTACAATTCAAGATTAGAATTCATTCTTCGAATTCGTGGATTTTATTATTCTGAACATGGCTTGGATCTAGGTCAAGCAGCAATGCAATTTCCGTTTCGATGATGGTAATTGTGTCAATTACAGCGAAGAAAAAAAAAAGATACGTTTTTGAGTTCCTGCCATTTTATTCGAAGAAATTATGAAATTCGATGTTTAACTTTAGAGAAAAAAGAAGACAGAAATGAAAGAAAGAAAGAATGAAAGTCTGTTTTGCTAGAATCCGACACTGGATGTGACTGTGCTTGCATTTACTGCCTGATGTTCGCGGAAACATCCACTTTCGTGATCCTACTTTAGATAATCAGCACAAGACATACAGCGAGCTAAGCTTCACTGAAGTCCTTTCGTTTATGATATACATGAATGGATAAGCTAGACATCAATATATCCTGCCATTGAAAAGCTTTAGTCCTCCCTACTCGCAACGTAATGAAAGGATTATGTTTGATATCTTCCGTTTCAGACAAAGCTGAAATTGCGTTACGAGCTAAAATAAACTTAACCTTATCTCCCGAGGGCTAACAAGTCATGAAGTAGATTCTAAACGGCTCTGACGATGGTGGATGACACACAGGATTACTGGGGTTTTGGACTTCTTCCATCGTCCGGAATTTTAGGTGAGGACATGACGTTTCGGAAACTGCGTCTGTTTCCGTCTTCAGGTGAGAAGTGAAGACACCTACTCAGTTGGGCCCCTTAGAAAGAGCTAATCTCACAGTGATTGAGATTAGCTCTTTTTAAGGGGCCCAACTGAGTAGTGTCTTCATTTCTCACCTGAAGATGGAGGCGATACGTTCCTCCGAAACGTCGGTTAACACCACATATACACGGTGCCAAATCCCAGAAGACTGCTTTCTTTATATTCCTGTTTTGTTTGATGTTTTTCAGTTGCAGAGGTTAAGGGTTTGGAGCCAAATGGCGAGATGTGTCAGAGACAAATATTCTGACATGTGGGTCGTTTCTAGGAAATGAATGGGCAAACACGTTGCCGCGGAAAGACTAATTCCTGGACACAAACTGATTACGGTACACGGTTTCCATGGATACGGAAACTGAAATTCGTAAACACTTGGAAACCATGCTGTTATTATTATTGCTAGTGGGGTGTGACTAAGCCCCTTGTACTGCGGCCACTTATGGCCTATTGTACCAGCCCCAGATGATAGGTGAGGGTGATTGTGGAGCAATTGGTGGAATGAAGATTGGCAGGGGAAACCGAAGTACTCGGAGAACAGTTGCCCCAGCGACACTTTTTCCACCATAAATCCCACTTGACAAGACCCGCGATCGAACCCGGGCCGCCGCGGTGGGAAGCCAGCGACTAACCATACTGTTACTTCGGAATTAGCACACGGTTTCCGATAGAGCGCATTCGTGAATAACAATAATCGAACCCTTGGAGGCGGTGATCTCTATTCGGGCCGCGTAGCAGATATAAGAAGGGGTTCATTCGTGAATTCGAGAGTAAGCCCCTCCACAAAGCTCTCATTAGATCCGTAATGACTTAGCTAGTCCCGCCTGAGAATTTGAGGCAGACACCCATCTAGTGAAATTGCAGCGCCTGCAAAACAAGGTTCTCGGCACCATTGGCAATTTTCCAAGGCACACATCGGTTTGCGATTTACACATGGCTTTCAAAATTCCGTACGTACATGATTACATAACAAAGTAATTCAAGTGACTAGACTGCAGTTGTAGCGGAAGCTACTAGAAATAGGGCACAATCTGCTGAACTGAGCCTGGACTGACAGAGGCCCTCTATATATTTTATATACATTTATTAACATGTTTAACGTGTAAAATGTAAATATCCTTTACATCATGACAAATAACTTACTACTGCAGAGACAATGACTCTGACAAAGAACAGACCCGTCCTCTCGTCGGAGAGGGCGCCCCACAATAACAAGACCGTATCTGTCAAACAGTAATAAATATCTAGGCATAAACTCCAGATTGGGCTCGACACCAAGACTGACTGACTGACTGACTGACCGACCGCCAGTCGCAATGTGACTTTGACTGTGAATTCCGAGAGGCGCAGAGCTCCATATCAGCCCGAGATTAGTGAGTGATTCGCCAGACAGACGCCGTTCAGGAGTTCAATGTGCGAGCTGTTATGATTAACTGTAATTGCAAGGAAGTGACAAAAAATCCAACCATCAAATCCAGAACACATTATTATTAGCCACGACAACCCCTCATATGTGACAATATAAAAATATGTCAAGGGAAGAATCTGTTGTTTGAAGAAAGCAGTCTTCTGGGATTTGGCACCGTGTATATGTGGTGTTAACCGACGTTTCGGAGGAACGTATCGCCTCCATCTTCAGGGTAGAAGGAAAAAATATAAGAAATCCGCAAGCGAAGAGACCGTGAAAACCGGTAAAAGCAGACTGGTCAAATCTTACAATCTGTGGTTTGTTTTAATACTTTTTTATGTTTAGTTCATTGAAACTCTCCTCTGTTAGTACATTTCAGTGTTTTCAGTTGCTGGAAAGTCACAGAGGTTAACGTTAACTTCTGAGAAATGGCGGGGGCATGTTTCTTTCATGGATAGGAAGGGTCGGCTTCTAAATGAGATATTTCGTGCATAAAAATCGAAAGAATTGAGATATTATGTCAGCGCAAAGGGACAAAGAAACCCCACGAAAATAATCAGGCAAGATAGCTGATCTCCGACTTGAGTTTCGAATCTGAGACCTCTCGAATATGAAACGGGAATGCTAACGACTAGACAGCTAAGCTCAGCGTCTGAATTCTACTGCCATGGTGTCTACTCTTACCGATGGGGTACAGAATGTACGGTGACGCCTTTGACGGAGGATCTGTGAAGCAGACGAGAGGCATCACCTCTTCCTCCTCGACTTCCGGATCGTGGAAGACGTCCAGACAATAATCGTCCGGTTCCAGCAGGAGCTTGAAGAACGGCACCCACATGTTGCCGTTTCTCAGGATATGGAACTCATCCGAGCTGTACCTCCGCCGCTCCAGTCGGTACCTGCAAGAGACAGAGTGTGAGTTGGCGTCTCGGGGGCGCCCAAGTCACCAGAATCTGTGTTGTGTTCCTTGCTGACGTCATAAAGTGTTTTGGTCGGAAAATATTATCGCGTATTCCGGGTTCCGTGACATATAACAATGGGTTCTGGATTGGACGATTGGATTTACTGGCACAACTTTACAATTAAAATCGACAATAAGAGCTCAAAATCAATGACTTCTCTAGGACTCGCCGGACTATAAGTGTCTTCTCTTCCACTGTGACGAAGCAAAAACGAAGAATTCCTACTCACACACATTGAACTAACTCGAACTCTGTACTCCTGTCTTTACGACTGACTAATGACTGAACTAACTTCCGGGCCGCCCCAATAGAGATCACGGTTCCTCTGTTATTCTGTCTTATCCGTTGCAACGGGAAACTGTGTTGTGGGACTTGCTACCCAGCAACGGAGGTCCCATTGTTGACTGCGTAAACTCGAGAATGTGTTTACTGAAGCGTTGTCTAGTGATGGTTTATTTCGGTTTTCAGGTGTCATGGCAAACTCTTCACGGAGACGTGTTTTAACGAGTCGTTGTCTAGCAATGGATTATCCCGTCACAATATTAAACGGGCTTCGCAAAGGTGTATAAATCAGACTAAGCTAGTACAGGATACGTCCAATTGCGGATTTCTGTAAAAAGGACACTGAAACTTCAGACTCCATAACACAAATAATTTAACCTGCAAATGAGTAACTATCAACTTTCAAGCAACCCCCTACACCATGGAATTAGTATTTATTTATGTACAGTTACTTAACTAAGCTGTGACCGCCTCTGTGGTCTAGCGGTCAGAGTTCCTGGCTACAGATCCAGAGGTCCGGATTTGACTCCCCGCGCTACCAATTTTTTTTTCTGAGAAGTAGTGGGTCTGGAACGGGGTCCACTCAGCCTCGTGAGGATAGCTGGGGAGCTACTTGAATGGAAAAGTAGCGGCTCCGGTCTAGGAACCCGATATTAAGGGCCGTGGGGATTCGTTGCGCTGACCACGCGACACCCTCTATCCACTCAGGTTGGCACTAACTTTGGCACTAACTATCTGGACTAGCGGTCAGCGTTCCTGGCTACAGATCCAGAGGTCCGGGTTCGATTCCCGGCGCTACCAGATTTTCTGAGTAGTGGGTCTGGAACGGGGTCCGCTCAGCCTAGTGAGGATAATTTGGGAACTACTTGAATGGAAAAGTAGCGGCTCCGGTCTAGAAACCCGAAATTAACGGTCGTGGGGATTCGTTGCGCTGACCACGCGGAGGTTGGCACTAACTTCGCCGACAAGCGGCGGTCGCTCGGTCAGTATAATTCGCTTGCGGACTAAATCACGGAGTTACAGCCGTTTTCGAGACAGTCGTCGTTCTGTTATCCACAATTCTCAGTCGGACGTCACTCAGAGCCAAAATCCGGGAAAGTTCATATGCACGCTACTTGTCTTCCTCTTGGAAAAAAAAACAACTCTGTGGCTTGAGTCCGCCAGCGAACTATACCGACTGAGGCTATATTCTGAAGATGGAGGCAGTAGTCTACTCCGAACCGTTCATAACGACCAACTACACTATGAGGCGTCACATCCAAGAAAAGAGTAATCTTCAGCACTTCTGGAAGTCCTAAAGACAAAAAAAAACTCCGTGGCTTTAGTCCGCAAGCGAACTATACCGGCCGAGCGACCGCCGGCTGTTGGCGTACTTAGTGCCAACTTTTTCGAAAAGAGGGTGTCGCGTGGTCAGCGCAGCGGAACCCCACGGCCGTTAATCTCGGTTTTCTAGACCGGAGTCGCTATTTGCTTGAAGTAGCTCCTCAGTTATCCTCATGAGGCTGAGTGGACCCCGTTCCAGATCCACTACTTCTCAGAAAATTTGGTAGCGCCCGGAATCGAACCCGGGACCTCAACCAACTATGCTTCCGTGTGCCCCACAGCTGAGATATCTGGCAAAGGTAATCATAAAAGAAGGCTGAACGTTTGGATTTGATGAATGCATCAAGAAATTATTTTATCAGTTATCTGAGTGTACTATCAGCCACTACGGCGTTTTTCGTATCACAGAGTTGATTAAACATTTCACTGATCTCGTCCTTCCGCCTGCATATTTCGTGTGACGCATGAATGTTGCGTTCTGTCGACATTTCAAAATAAATGGCTTCGGTTTCTCCTGCCAATTCTCATTCCACCGACTGCTAGACATTCATCGCCTATCATCCGGGGCTGGTACAATAGGCCAATCCGTGGCCAACGTATCAAGTTGACACAGTCTCACCCCAACCCAAGAAATTAATTGAAAATGATGTCGCTGGTTCCATTACGTCTGGAACGCCTACACAAAATGTCTCGGGCAGTTCTGGAGTTGTGATAGGGCGCGGGCACACCAGGCAAACTGGCAACCGCAACGCAACTGCAATTTCCTAGAATTGTTATCAGCCTGAGTTGAACACATAGTACTGAATACAAACTCCGTGGCCTGTAGTCCGCAAGCGAACTATACCGACCGAGCGATCGCCGCTTGTCGGCGAATTAGTGCCAACTTTGGCGGATAGAGGGTGTCACGTGGTCAGCGCAACGAATCCCCACGGCCGTTTTCTAGACCAGAGCCGCTATTTCCTTGAAATAGCTCTCAATTATCCTCAAGAGGCTAAGTGGACCCCGTTCTAGAGCCACTACTTCTCAGAAAATCTGGTAGCGCCGGGAATTGAACCCGGGACCTCTGGATCTGTAGCCAGGAACTCTGACCACTAGACCACACAACAGGCGGTCTCACGGAGGCAACTATGAAAATTATTATATTCTGGATTGTTACGCCTTGTAGTTTTGTAGTCAGTAGGTACCAACGTTTCGGAGAAATATCCTACTCCCATCTTCGGGGTAGAAGAGTGGGCATGAATATGGAGACAGCACGTTCATTCGAAATGTTGATATCCATCTACCAAACTACACGGGATCACATCTCAGGAGACAGTAGGCCTAACCTTTACGAAGTGACTAGATTCCCAACAGGAGAGTCTATGAACATCAAAACCAATGAAATAGGCAAAATAAGAGAAGAACGCATCCAGAAAATGTGTGTACTCCAAAACACTGTCCACTTTTGCTAATGAAGGTGTACCCGTTATGTGGGTGATAACTGATGGTACCCTTCTGTCGGGACATCTACCCCCACTTGCGGAAAAATCTACTTAAAGGGAAAAGGGTCAGTCCCTCAATTCCTGTTCCTTTTTAAGTATTTTACTGGGAAAAGACAAAAGGCTAAATTGTTCCAGTGTTCAATTAAGCAAACATGCCATGAGGACTATGGGGGAGTGGAGGCATACCTCCATGCAATCATAGCCTTTGCAATAGACAGTGATGAGTGGTCAACTTGACGCCCTGGCCTCTTTCCTTCCCGGGAAACAGGCGCTGGAACCCACTGGACTGGAGGCTGGATGCGCTCCAGACCCGGTATGGACGCTGCAGAGAAGACAAAATTCTCTACCCATATCAGAAATCGAACCACGATTCTAGGGTCGACCAGCATGTAAGACAGTCATTATAATTACGGGGCTTTCACAGTTCCTTTAAATATTCTGCTAGATAGTAAACAGAGAAACTGGAAATGAAGGTGGGATTTATGAATTTATATGCTGTTACGGAAAAGTACGTAAAAAGGTAACGGTACCGTAAGAAATAAAGTTTTCCCTGTGCCTAATTAATTAAGCACCACGCCATGAAGACGTATCGAGGAGTGGAGTTATATAACTTCACCGTTCTTGATCTTGGCATTAGATGAAGGTGAGTGGTAAGCTTCAAGCCCCGGCCGCCTTATTCCCGAAGAAAGGGCCCGCGGTACTCCATGGATAGGAGTCTGGGTCTTGACGCTCTGGGGAAGAGAAAACTCCCTGTCCTTGCAGCGATTCGAACCCCAGTCCTCCCACCGGTAGCCCGTCGCTATACCTACTAAGCTATTCTGACTCTAGAAGTAAAACAAATTTTTCTTACAATATTTGACGGCAAAGAATTTACCGAAACGCCATGTTCATGCACACAATTACAAAATTATCTTCACATACAGCTGTTACGAAACCAGACCAAACTACACCCAGTAATGTAACACAGTGACAGGATGAAATTCCTAGAAGGAGCAGTAAAATTTCACTTCGCGAAGGTTGTTACCAGGCCGGCGCCAGGGCACATACGAACCGACTTCTTTGAACGGAACGACTTTAGGGGCAACATAGTTTACAAACACCTCGTTTGTTTATCGTTTTCGTCTAATGAAAATCTGTTTCCGATACCATTTTGTTCACATCATGACTATTAATTAGCTGCGATTTAAGCATATTACGCATCACTGCAAACAAAACCTTTTTTAAGAAGTAGACCACCGAATTTAAACATCTGTAAGGATTTTGTGTTACTGTAACAAAGTTTCGATGAAGTTGATGGTTTTTGGCTGAAGGGGAGAGAGGGTATTTCCTTTCTCCTGTTTCGGCATTTGGGCCTGCGCCTGACTTAAGCTGTCAGTCACCTGCCGATATTAAAATCATGTGAGGCATTAACGTCATGCATCCTATATGCCTTCACAGCGTGGTGGTTAGGCGCTGGGGGTCTCTACATTTTGCACTTACTAGAACAGGAGTAAACAATTATACTTGACCCACGTCTTCACACGTGTGTCGCTGAATTCTAGGCCATTCCTTCGTAACTTGTCACTGTACTGTCAATATAAACACATACCAATCGCTACTAATGAAAATGAAGTGGGCCTAGTCTTCGAAATGTACCCTATTTCTACTCACCTGCCATATTTACATGGATTCCCAATGATATAATTGTATCCCTCCCCATCATCTGTGGAGTTGCTAGTGTTTTCTTGACGGGAGAATTGAACCTGGAACTTGAGAGTGCTAGGTTCGCAAACCTTCCTTGTTCCTGTGCTCTCCCCTAAAGGACAGCACTTAACCACGCAGGGCTTGGAGCTGCCTCTGGGACACTGTCTACCATGTGTATTAGAGTCCCCATTCGAAATGGAATTCAACACCAATACCGTCGTGGCACTTGGTGTAGACGAGGAGGCCATTTTGGCCTCACTGACGACAATATTTGAAACTGTTACAAGTTCACTAACAATTACATTAGTTCTATTTATTTCGGTTGCACTTGTGGTTGAGTTCAGCACCATTTGACCACGGACGAACCAAATTGCGCAGCACAGGACCAACACGCGACACATGTCTCTGTCCTCACGCTGGTCCAGGCTCACCATACAACACAACATTAACAGCTAAGAGCGGTAAGAGTATGCGATGACGAACTGCAACTACAAGTTCAGAAGTTACCGCTAGGAGGCGGCGAGGAAGCAGAGATAATAGAGATTAAATGAAGTCACTTGATCACGTGTCCGAATGTATGGCAGTCCTGCTTGGCAGTGATTAGTGCTTGATGTTTAGTTCGAAAGGTTCGCTGTTGCACCGTCCTGAGGATCCTGAGCTAGTACGTTTATACTCAATATCTGTAACACAAATTTTAATAGTGTGCTCCTATCTGCGTCTGTTACCCACGAATTCTCTTCCAAAATTCCGTATTCACGTTTTCTCAATACGTGCTACACGACCTGCAATCTCATAATTTTTATTCAGTAGCGCTATGTAGTTTTATCTGTTCCTTGTTACTTCACTGTTTTAAACAAGAATCATGTCAATTTGATCGAGTTTCAGAACTAATATAGGCATACCCCTTACCTAGCAAGCGGGTTTTGTTGTTTATTCATATACGCTATGTTGCATCGACTGCTGAAGTTGAATCAGTTTTGATGATTGTAATCAGGAGAGATGCGGATGTAATGATCATGATGTAGAAGCCACTATAAACCTCAATTAGTGGAAAGCTGGATCCTGAGCCAAGGTTACATTTCGCGACCTCTCTATGAGGTAGTACCAACCAGGGGAGGTGCATTCTTAGGGGCTAACGGGGCTAAGCTCATTTAATTTTTGGTGACCACAAATAAAATTAAAGCTAATTTTCGAAAAGAAGCGCGTATATTGCATTTATAATTTACCTGAAATAAAGTAATTCAAAGGACGAATTCCGTGGCCTGTAGTCCGCAAGGGAACTATACCGACCGATCGACCACCGCTTGTCGGCGAAGTTAGTGTCAACTTTAGCCGATAGAGGATGTCGCGTGGTCAGTGCAGTGGAAGCCCAAGGCCTTTAATCTCGGTTTTCTAGACCGGAGCCGCTATTTCCTTGAAGTAGCTCCTCAGTTATCCTCATGAAGCTGAGTGAACCCCGTTCCAGACCCACTACTTCTCAGAAAAATCTGGTAGCTGCGGGAATCGAACCCGGGACCTCTGGATCTGTAGCCAGGAACTCTTACCACTAGAGCACAGGTGTCTGAAATACACTCCTCAAATATATAACACGTATGGGGCGTAATGTGACTAATAACTGTGAATTCTAGCTTTTACGATTGGGTTTATTGAACACTTCTTCACAAATACAATCAATTATAGCGCTGTCACAAATCTTCTCTTTTGAATAAATAATTTCATTCCTTTTTAGACTTTCTTAAGGAATGATATTTTAAGAATCATATGAATATGAACTTCATATAAGTCAAAATTTGTATTAAGTTGGGAATAACTGCACGTACTGGTAGGTCTATAATAACAAGTGGCTGATGAACCTTCGGGTTCCATAAAATGCTGGGAAATTCTTGACTAGCTGCAGAATTGGCGGCTCCTCAAGAAGGGCTCAGCTCCATGAGTAAGTAAGTAAGTGGTTCTTAATTGAAATAATTAGCTTTAGGTCCACGATGAGTGGGACCCATGTAATACCCAGAAAAATTGACATGTGGTAGAGTGCATCACATAACGTAACACAAGGGTACTGAGGAAAAAGAACACAAATACTTTCTGGCAACACAACCTGAAAGTTCAACACTGCTAACATTAAACCTGCCATTAGACTCTCCCTGTACCACTCCTATCCATCGCACATTTTTATATCTTACTTTCTAAGTTCCACTTTTAATATTAACTTTAACCCCTTGTAGTTTTCTTTAAATGGTAGTAAGTCTCAGCTGTCACAGTGTTATCTATTTCCTTTATATTTTCTTCGGTATATGTCAATAAATATAAATGCATCATTTGGTTAAAGAAAGATTAGAGAAGAGGATAAGTGTACTATCTCAAGTCAAAGTCAAAGTCACATTGCGACTGACGGTCAGTCAGTCAGTAAGTCTTGGTGTCGAGCACCATTTGGGGCTCATGGCCAGATTAATTATTACCGTTTGACAGTTACGGTCTTGTTTCTGTGGGGCGCCTTCTCCGACGAGAGGACGGGTCTGTCTTTTGTATATGCTGCTGACCCTTGCCAGCGCAGTCTTACTCGGGTCCGTGTGCTATCTGTTGACGACAAAACCAAATATTAGCATAATCTACGAACACACCTCCCACAGAAAACACATCGCTGCTTAACAACGGATATCATATATTGTTGTCAGGCGTGTCAACCCATGCATTGCCTAGCAATGGACGCCCTATTGTTGCGCATGCTTTGCTGTGATATTGTTTACGTATTCGTCTCCTAAAAATGGCCCAATCTGTCACAGCATTTTAATTTTTATAGAGGTTAAAATTTAATAAGTGGAAATATACTAAGTATGTTGCCATTTGCAGCATACTTTACTCTCCTACGTGTATTAGCACTTCACAACACAAATTCAGTGCTTCCAGGCAGGTGACAATTCTAAATAGTGTTGCAGTGTATGTGTAATGCCACAATTTGGAGAGTTATGGGAGGCAATGTAAAGGCTTCCCAGGGGCAAAGAAGTCATGCACTTAGTACTGCAGATGAGTTGTATTTAATGTATAAAAGTTCAGATATCATCAAAAATAACAAAAATGTAAAAGAGTTATGCATAATCTTGGGATGGGTGATGCACAGCTTTTGACATGAAATAAGCCGGAATGGCAAAGTGCTGTAAGCAGACCGCTATGGAAGGGAACATACAGAGAGATGTGATTGATGAACTCCAGCAAGGTTTAGTGCGAGAAATAAATGCAAAGGTAAGTGTGCTGAGTCATCAGTATTTTGCCCATCGTGGGTTCGATGGCAAATGAAGTCACAAATATGCAGTATATACACGGAATGTTAGCCAGCATCTTTTATGCGGGAGTGAAAGAAACATTTATTGCAGTATATCAACAAAGCACTCAGATTTCTACTAATTATTTGGCATCAGATGTGTGCAGTAACTGTTAAGTAAACATGGTGACAGCATGCTTGTAAAAGAAATAGAAACCCAGCTTTATTCAGTTAGATGTGATCTAATAATGCCGTGCAGTTATTGATCATAACTGCCTTTCATATTTCCACAAAGGCAGATATTCTGTATTTATCCGTGTAATACCAACAGCGCTTCTCTTGTGCCTGTTTCTAGTGTTCCTGCATTTTGTTCTGTATATCTTCCAGCCTCTAACAGAAATGAGTACCAGGAATAATCATGGAATATTTTGGGGGGTGAAGAGCGCCCAGCGCGTAAGGCTGACAACCTTGCCGCCATCTATGTGTCGACTGTCTAGAGAAAATGTAGGAGCCTCGACGTCTCACAACCCTATGGGCCTCCACGGCCTGTTACAGGGATACCTTTACTTTTCTACTTTATATCTTCGCTCTCTTTGTCTCTCTACATTATGCTTCGTTTCTTCACTCACTGTTTATTCACCACTTTCATCCTTCATTTCTTAACCATACAAGATCAACACGTCAACATTTTTTACCTTTAAAAGAACTACTGAGAGCATGTGATGTCTCGTACGTAGTCAAGAAATATTTAGAGAGAATTTATTCCTTATATTTGAAGTTCTTTGAACATACTTACGCAAGGTTAGACCCCATAATACATGCTCAAGAAACACATGTTTTAGTTTCATGCCTAATCAATTCCTTTCTTACATCTTAGACCATATACAGGACATAGAAGAGTGTGTCAGAAGTCCCATGATCTAGTTAACTGACGAATTATTAATTTATGTTGACTACAATGAATGCAGTACTAAGCATATGTCAAAAATGTTAGTATGGACACCGTAGGTTCAAAACACAGAATTTCGCATTTCCTGCGAGATATTCGGCGTAATATTGCTGGTGTTATTTCGGCGAACGCCTTGTGTACTTCCTCGTTCAGTTCATCAGTTGTCTGATAAGTTTTCCGAGAAACACCTTGTGTGACGATTCCCCAAAGCTCGTTATAGCAAGATGACAGTTCGGGATATCTCGGCGGTCACTCCAGCGGAGACGCGAGAGTGGGTGAACCACGGCCTACCCACTCCTCACGTACTCCTGTACTGATATCGTGTAAGGAGCAGTTGCTCCGTCCATTTAGGACGACGCTATATCAACATGGGCGAGGACACACCAAGGAAACTGGCACCCGCAGAGCAACCGCAATTTCCGAGAGCTGTTATCAGCCTTAATTAAACACATGTTACTGAATGGAGCTGCGCCAATTGAGGAAACGGCAACTCAGACTGATAATCACAACTGATGGTCGAAATTGTTTGAGGACAAGATCGGATTTGACACACCTGCGCACTGACGCTTCAGGATTGTCGAGTGCAGAGGATTGTTTCAGGAGCAGCTGCTTCGGTGACCTCAGCAGAAATACTATAACACTGGCACCGTGTTTGGATGGCCACTCACACCTAAGCAGGTTATGACATTACCGACTGAAAAAATCTTCCTTCCCCATTTTAACATGGTCATCTTGGGAGAACAACTTTGTTGGGTCATGTTTGAGTCATCTCTGAGTGCGTGGATTATCTTCCCAATGTTTAATCTTGCATGACCTATGTTCTAATCACTATCAATTTTTACTGCTGTAATTCGCATTGTCTGCCATGTTTCTATAAAGGCATATTTCTGGAATATAAAAGTAAAACACCTGTTATAAACTACATTTCAATTTCAAAAGCAACTAATGGGGTAACATGACTTCTGGCACACTTTGTGCTGTAGCGTCAAGCACATTAACAGTAGCTTGTAGAAGTTATATCACGATTTTTGCTCAGACTGTGAGATTAGAGAAACAAGTTTAGATTCCGAATTTCCTCTTCATTCTCCAAAATCCTTCTTAAAAACATGTTTCGATTCCGAATTTCCCGTTCATACCCCAAACTCCCCTTTAAGAGACAAATTTCGATTCAGAATCTCCCCTTCATACCCAAAATCCCCTTAAAAACAATTTTTCCGAATTTCCCATACATATTCAAACTTCCCCTTAAAAGACCAAGTATCGATTC